ATAGCACAGTCTATATACAGAATGGCTGAACAAACAACATTGTGTATGAATCTATATCTGATAGCTTGTGTCGCCCTGACAGAACCAATATGCTTGTGACAGGTAACACGATCAGCCATTCACTGATATGACATATGTGGTATAAGTTTGAAACTAAATTTATAAGCCATGTACGGCCACACTCAACTGTGTAAAGCTGACTATACACTGCATCCATCCTGTATGCTGTATACAGTAGCACAAGGGTTATAACAGGTTTGTATATTTATAAATCTTCACGAACAGGTAAAGTTTGAGAAAAGTAATGAAACTTTACTGAACTGACCGATGAAGCATAAATGTTCAATCTGTTACTAATAAATATCGTTGCATCGTAACCAGGTTCTCAGATGCCGTAATTTTTGAGATAGGAATATATATTGACAGAAAAGACCCGTTTTATCCGAACTATTTTAACTCAATGTGTCGTGCAAGTAATATGTGTTATGGTGAACAATGCTGTATTCATCTTCTGCTGCAGTCTTCATCCAAGATGGCGTCCTACAGGCTCGTGTATGTCCTCCTAATGACGGCTCTTCTTAGCAGTGCTCTTTGTGGTATGATGAGGCTCACAAGGGGCAAGGTCGTGAACGACAAAGACTGCCCGGGCGCAGCCAAGAGCTACAGCAGCATCGACTGTGCACGTCGCTGCATGCTTCGGAGATCATGTAAGGCTTTCGTAAGGCTTTGCAAGGATGACCACAAGGAGTGCCGGTGTAAGCTCTGCTTCAACCCCGTTAAACTGAAGGATGGCGATGGCCTATACGGCGCCATGGCACGCAGGTGAAAACTGGACCCTGAGATTGTCCAGGACCTCCCACGGAGGCTACACGGTAACTTTCACCTTAAACACTCAGCTGTTGAAAGGATCCACTTATGTAAAGCGGTCATAACATTCCTGTTATAAGTGCGCCACACAATTTGCATCTTTTATCATTTGAGAGTTCTTACATTTTAATAAACGGGTCTTCTCAAAATATGTTGTTTGTAAATCTTGTAGACTAAGTTCATTTGTAGTTATTAATCGAATGCTATCCGATGGAGTCATTTCAAAATGCTGTCGGTAAGGAAGCATGCTTGCCCCTTTCGCAAACACAAAGTGCCATCACTGATTTCCAGTGAACCATTAATCTAACCCGCCGGGAAAACCAAAGTCTATCACGAAAATTGGATCTGACAACACAAATTACAACATTATGGTATATTTGGCATTACACTTTCTCAGTGAAGTAAAGATATTAGAAGTGTGTTGTATATAATCCGTTACTTATTGAGAAACCGTAACCCCAAATGTAACGCGTTACATTTGACCACCTTCTAAAAGACATTTTATTTTAAAGCGTTTTCAAAATGTGAACATTCGCCGATAGACAAAAATGGACTTAGGGAGTGGTCTAGAAACAAACTGTTTGCTTGGAACATGTAAATTGACCAGTACAAGATTGCTGAACGCCCCTTTTTGGAACCCAGTAAAATGCACGCGTGGAATTAACACGTTGTGGTTAACGCCAAGCATCCATATGGTGTAGTGGGGGTGGTTTGGGGGGAGGCCTGGCAAACAACAGTTGAGGTGTGTCACCATCCGTGGTAGCGTCAGCGGCCAGATCTACAGGGATGACGTTCTTCAACTGGTGGTGATACCATTCCTTCCCGAACAGCAGCATGGAACATTCTTACGCTAGGCCGCACACTAGGTTGTGCAAGATGTCTTGGCTGCCCACAACGTTAAAGTCGCTGTTCTTCCATGACCAGCTTCCTGGGTACACATATTCAACTCTGGCCATGCCGCCGTGGCTTTTTGATCTGCAAAACGTCTGAAGGCACATGGTTTGTGTTTTTATTGGAATCCATGCCTTTCAAATTGTGTCTAAAATTGTCCGTGACATGTCAGTTGTGATATATGTCTTGTACATATTATCTTCAAGTTGTTTGTTGTTCGGTTCTATTTTCACAGTGAGTGAGTGAATTTAGTTTTACCCCGCACTCAGCAATATTCCAGCCATGTGGCGGCTGTCTGTAAATAATCGAGTCTGGACCAGACAATCTAGGGATCAACAGCATGAATATCAGTAGGGAAGGTAGTGCGATGTTAGGCGACACTGTTTTAATTACTTGTTTTACGGATCCGCAGACAGTAAATTTTGCTAAAGTGGGGGAAAAATAAAGTTTAAATTCTTCCATTTTTTAAATAAAGCCGAAAAATAAAATCCAAATAAATGATTAAAAAATCTACTTTATTGAAATCGACTTTCTGTAACGAATTTAGCATTGTTGCAAAATAAATTCGCCAAATTGACGTTACCGAGTGAAAATGCTGAGTCTTTTAAAACCCTATCATAGTAGGACTGTCTGACTGAGTTTGGTTTTACGCCGCTTTCAGCAATATTCCAGCAACATCACGGTGGGGGACAACAGAAATGGGCTTCACACATTGTACCCACGTGGGGATTCGAACCCGGGTTTTCGGCGTGACGAGCCAACGCTTTAACCATTAGGCTACCCCACCGCCCCCTATCATAGTAGGATATGAGATCATCTGAATGGCTGATGGCACATTCTAGTTTTTCAAACAGCCTACTTGTGGTGAAAGTCACTTTGGGAAATAAATCTGAAATAGCAGAACACCTACCGACAGGAATATTGCTGTAAAAAATCCGTTAACCAAGTAATGAAAAAAGTGCGTCCTTAGGCGAAAATAATGTTGAAATATATAAGTGGAACGGATATTGCATTCGGATATTAGATAAGTTCGGACAAGTGCCTCAGGTAAAGTAACAGTCAGAATAACTGAATTTCATTCAATTTGTTATAGATCTGTTAAGTATGAGGGGTCACATGTCAAAAACAGACTGTTTGTGTAATACGGGACCAGTGTTGTTTTAAACATGCGATAAACCAATGCTCGCAGGTCTCGCTCTGAAACAGTTTGACATATATCATCAAGAATTGACCGTTGAGTCAATAATGAAGCAACAATATTATCATAAGCGGTAACGGTGTCAGTATAAAGGACAGTATAGTAGAATTAAAAAAACATGTTGCTTGAGTAATACCTGAATGAACTGAAACCAGTGTTTTAAACATACGATAAACCAATTGATTTCTCGCATCGATTTAGCTCTCGATGTGAAACAGTACGTTCGACAAGAATCAAGAATCGATCAAGAATTTGTCGCCAAGTCAAGGATTAAGCAACAGTATATATAAAAAGCGGAGGCGGTGTGAGTATCGGGGTAGTATATACATATATACGTATCTTGACATAGGTTGCACAGGCTGGGTGTTGACCGTTGTCTATAACAATCACTGGATTGTATGGTCCTGATTGTGTACGTATTTACGAAGAGCAGACACAACAACATCACTATAAGGGACCGTATACATCCTGAGTTAGAAAAACAGTTAGGTGTGGACCGTTGTCGAGAATCTCAATCACTGGATTGTCCGGTCCCGATTTTGTACATACACCTGGAATATTTGCTTAGTTCAATGTTAATCAACAAAAATATAAGAAACTGCCCATCATGAGGAGAACCAGTATAGTATCACTACTGCAATGTTGACGGAAAACATGGGTTTCTTTACATCCGGAACGAACAGTCTTGTGAAATTTCTGAACATGAACTTTTTCTCCAAATACGCCCAAGATGAAGCGCTCGTAAAATATTCAAGATCATTTGTGACCGGAACTGACTAAAGTGTGTGTCGTGCCCTTAAACCTACAACGGCTGAAAATCGCATGAAGACAGGAAAACAACCACATTACACCTGACAAACGCATGTATGATGAAAATGCCTTTTACTACCCCAGTAATTCATCTCAATTTTCTTTTTCACACTACATAATGATTCAAACAACTCAAACCCGTGAAGATCCGGGTTAGAACTGGTCTTCAATAATAATGATCCGTGGTGATGCCTTTGAACATTTGTACAATGTTTTTTAGTCGTAGCTGTTTTACAAGATCTCTCTACATTGGAATACAACAGGCATCTGTGAAATTGTATTTATTCGAGTGGTTGTCGAAGGTTTGCCTTTTACCATCTCAGTTGCAGTTGATGTCATAAACATAACTCGCTGTGTGTAATCATTCAGAGGCATGGGGTAGTTTGAGTTCGGCTAGTCATCATCCTGCTGGAAGTATCATCAGGTATAATAAACACCAGGCCGACATGTCTACAAATGATTCGTAATGAATCCATACACTGATGTGTTCAGCAATGTGTCAGAGGTGTCACAGAAGGTGGCACTAAGAATGGACTTTATATACACGCACGTACGCACACCCCCTGCAAAGTTGACACATCAGGAACAGTTCCTTTTATATACATGTACACACGCACGCGCACGCACACGCACGCACACATACACTCAAAGTTGAAACCCGCGAAGATCCGGGTTAGAATTGATTTACAGTACCCCATGCCTGTCGTAAGAGGAGCTAACGGGATCGGGTGGTCAGGCTCACTGACGTGGTTGACACATGTCATTTTATACCAATTGCGTGGATCGATGCTCATGATGTCAATCACTGGATTGTCTAATCCATATTTTCCGACAGCCGTCATATAGTTGGAATATTGCTGAGTGCGGCGTTAACCAATAAACAACTTCTAACAGCCCAAGGACATACAATAGACTTGACAAGTGACTATATACAAATGTTTCATATCACTGTACAGAAATACAGAAATGTTCATGGAACACATGTCATTGTCCCTTCCGCATCTAGCCGCCATTAGGATGTGATGCATTTCGCTATTAAAAGGCGCAATACGAAAACCTGTGTTTTGAGTCATAAGTAGGGTCGATTTCTCTTACAATCAAAATATCGTGAAATAACAATCGGACTATTGAAGCCGTTGTTCGAGGCTGTGCACAGGTGTTCGCGTCTGGCACATGAGAGGCTGCAAAATGCACCCAAATCGAACACTCATATATACACAGTAAGCGGCCGGGATATGGCTGAAGGAAGTCTGTCCAGTTGAGTTTAAGGACATACAAATTAGTGTTAATAACGCTCAAGAGCAGAGAGAAACTAGCCAAATGTTGACTTGGCAGCAATGGTGGCAGCACGTGGAATAGTTTGATTGTCACCTGTTTTCGTGTTATGGGATACACTCCTTTTCTCACTGGGATAGTGCTATAACAAGAGTTCTCGGAACTGCTGTTTCCAGCCGTAGAAGAAATAAGTGAATTGCTGGAGCTGACCTAATAATCATTGTTGTCATTGTGGAGCTGACCGGATAATCAATTGTGGTCATCGTGAAAGCGTTAAACATCGTTTATACCACAGTGTTCAAGTGTTTCACATGGTATAATAACTTTTTGTACGCATTCTTTCCGATGTATTTGTCCGTTTTGTTTCAATGTGCAGTTTGAATTCAAATGAAAGAAGGAAAATTTCATTGTGCGCTTGTTTGGAGGAATTCGAAGCTTCAGAATCTATAATTCAACTTGCGGATTTACATGCAGTAACACCACCATTCCCAAGAGACTAACCCATCGTCCAGTCATAATCATCGAGTCATCTCACTTCGGTAATCGATATTGTGTCGCCTGAATCAACAGGTAACGCCCCGGTATATTAATGTAGATCTACTGTGCTACTGTTTATTGATTTGTATTGTCAGTCTGTAATCAATTCCAACCAACTGGCGCTTTCCGTCCACATCTGTTGCGGATCTTTGCACGAAAAGGGAGGGGCAGAGTGTTTGTCGTGTGGTTCAACTCGGTAGAGTGTTTATATGATGCATGGGGACTTGGGAGGGGTTCAATCAGCTGGCGATTGCCACTTGCGGACTTGACTCATCATCTTGGTTTCCAATGTACCTGTTTTATGCCGAAATAGGAAATATACAATAACGAAGATTAATGATTATAAATTGTATTTGATATATATTTTTTTCCCGTAATTAGTATATTGCCATTTATAATAACATGTAAAAAGTGTAAAAGAACACAGAGAGAGAGAGAGAAAGGAGAGAGAGAGAGAAAAGGGAGAGAGAGAAAGGAGAGAGAGAGAGAGAGAGAGACACAGATGCATATTTCACACTGCACCATTAAGAGCGGACTACACCAAGTTGGTCAATTGTATTGATGAGATCAAGCTAGGTATTTAGGCAATATTTATTATTGTTGCAGAAAATTAAATTGTTTGGGGCTGATGACCCAAATCCACAATCAGATGTTGTAATAAAAGTTTACATTTAAATTACTTCACATTACATTTACTTGTCAGCTCTGTGTTTCCTTGATTAGAAAACAAGTTACCAAAATGGATACAAAGATAATAATCTAGCTAAAGGGAAAATTTTAATAGAATTTTATCAAATAAATCTGACCTCTTTTAAATCACAAAGAAGACAAAGTCTTCTCTGACAATTAAACAAAAGTAAACATTTGCTGTAAAAACAGTAAGCATCATTACATTAAAACAATTTTATGTTTACCTACATTCATATTTCTTATAAAAAACTTTATTACAAATAATTTCATAACAATGAAGTAAACAAGATTGTATTTTTGGTTTTCAGAAGGTATGTAACAGATTTTATGAAAACTGTGGTCTCATCCAAGATGTAACAATCAGTTTTCTGAGATCACTTCATGGCAGTATGTTAGACACTAAATCCTTTATCAGAATTAATATTGTTATATTTTATAATATTTTACTTATAATGCAAACGCATGCATTAACAGTAATAGAGAAAGCTGATAAAAATTATATTGTATATTTGGAGATGGTTTCAGTTGCCATTATTATATACTGTGCAACAGTAACATCATCAGATAATCAGATGTTGATACCTATCACATTATTTCCATTTTGTCTTTGTTTACAGAATGCATTGACATAATAATTATGTTAATTTTGTCCTCACCTTTTGTCCATATGGTCATGATCTATATTTTGGTGTGTTCAGGCATATTGTTTCTGTTTCATTAATATATTAAACCAGGTATAATGCTTTCAAATGTGTAAATAAGTTATGCATTATTATGATAAATGTTATTCATATTATTTACATGGTGGGAATAGAATCAGAACTGCATGAATTCTTGATTTACCTGATTTTAATTTTAAATTTATCTGTCTACATGAAAATATGGCCAGAAAATATGTCTGTGTCTTCGTTCAATGGAATTGATCAAACCTAGACAGTGGTCAATGACCCACGGTTGCTCAGGAGCCAATATAATGCCCATTGTCCACCAGTGTGCCACAAGGCCAACTGTTGCAGGAGGAGTTATAGTGTCATATTGACCACAGAGGTTCTGATCTCTCAATGTTGCTGTAATGGGCATTGGACACAGTAGAGTCATATCTAGTGAGTGTGTGCGCCTGGATTTACGCCTTTTAGCAATATTCCAATAATATCATGGTGGTTGACATGAGAAATGGGCTTCACGCAATACGTGTCTATGATGTAGAGACAATTAAACACTTTAACCACTATGGTACACCACTGCCCCAGTTCCAGTAGTATTGGTACTGGTGAAAATGTAATCATTTTGTTAATTCAAAGATAGGTATATTTTTGTTCAATTTGAATATATAGAATATATAGAAACAGTGAAGATGTAGCGAGTAAATATCCAACATGATCTAAAGTGATTAAATTTGTGTACTGCTTCCTGACAACTGATTGGTACAATCCATCCATTGTGTGAATCCTTGCCTAACAGCTTCCTCTTGGTGACACCCCAATTCTTTTGGGGTCCATTGACAATCACCAGCGATTGGCTGCATCTTCTTCAGAGGTGTATACTAAGTTCAACCACTCACACAAGGCCTTAGAAAATCATCTTTAGGGGGATAGTTTCTTTTTACACTCGTCCTAAGAGTTTGTAGCTAGTTCTGTATGAACAATACTTACTGTGTTTATATTTACTACTAGTTATATTAAGTTCCGGTTTGTAGTTTATGTGATATATTTGTGTATATCAGTTCAGTTTACTATGTTTTCAGCAATATGTTCATGGATTTACTTCTTTGATTACTGTATCATTTGTCATCAGTTGACAAAGACTATAAATTAAAGCAGAGACTGCTTAAATATTATTGACTAACTACAGTTACATTTTATGAGATAATCAAAAATATATTCCCATAAGATTGATCCAGCAAACCTATATGTTCCATTTTGCAGATTCGGGCTTTTGAATTCGTAAACCTGAAAATATGTTGTCGAATGAGAACATGCTATGTCTTTTACACAGTTGAGCTACAATCTTTTGTTTTGTTTTGTCTTTATGCTCTTTGGTTAGTATATCAGGGCTCCAGATAAGGGCCGAATCGGCGAATATACGGATATAAAATATGCACGATACGGTAGGAAATAATTTAGAAAACGTAGCAGATATGCACTACAGCAATGGTGTACAGTCTTAGAATCACTTACAAACGTATTTTTATCTCCCGTGTTGCGGGGGCCATTAAAATGGACTCCGTCCGTCCGTCCGTGCATCCGTGCACATTTGTCTTTTCTGGAGCATAACTCTAAAACCGTTCAATATGTCTTCACCTAACTTGGCACATAGATAGATCTGGTGGTGTACTGGTGCCTTTTGGTAGTTTTGGATTTCTGAATAAAATATTTTTTGCAATTTCATGGCAACAAGTTTGACTTAGACTGAAATTGGTGGTAGTGCTCTTTTCCGGAGCAGAACTTTAAAACCATTCAATATTTCTTCACCAAATTTGGCACATCGATAGGTCTGGTTGGGTACTGGTGCCTTTTGGTAGTTTTTGATTTCTGAATAAAATATGTTTTTGCGTTTCCATGGCAACAATGTTGGCTTCAACTGAATTTGGTGGTAGTGCTCCTTTCTGGAGCAGAACATTGAAACCTTTCAGAACTCTCCTTCCACGTAGCTATATACACGCCAAAACATTTGGCATAATCATAACTCGTAGACATATTCTTGAAGAGTATTTAGTTATTGCGGGGGATATTGATGACTTTGTCTTCTTGTTTTTAAAAGTATTGTTTTATTGTTTATTGACCTGTTTACGTAAGAGTAGCAATGTTGTGGTGCATATATGAAATGAAACACAAGATTACTGATACCCCTGTAATTCCAACTAGTACTCTAAATGTACTCTTAAGGTTTTCCAGTACACCTAATGTTGAAAAATTATCTGGAGCCCTGGTATATCATATGCAGATACTGTCTGGCCAGTCATCACTCCATAGAAAATTTTACCTTTATAATTGCCCTACAAAATGAAGGATGTACCTAGTGTAACGAATACCTGTGTACTCTTATCAACTGCCTGTATACTATGTACAGCAAACAATACTGTATAATAGACACATTCACTGTAACTTTTAAGAAATCACTCAGACTGTTCAGACTCGTCATTTAGAAGCGGACGTGACTATGTTATTCAAGGTACTTCTGTGAGAGACATACTGAGATGCTCCGTACAGTAGCTAATCTACTGGACAATATCAGATGGTGTTGCACTGCTTTATACATTAATGATTCAGCAGATAGGCTAATTACATTCACTCTCTGTCATCAATCCAGGACGGTTATTGTCAAGTGCTGAGCTTCTGATGATATGTTTAGGAGATAAACATACTGTGTTGGAAAATCAGAGGTATATAACAAAATTATAATAGCTCTATATTTGATTAAAAACCAAACCTGTAGCATGAGGTTTTAAATAATAAATTTAGAGCTATTATAATTTCATTATATACCTATGATTTTCCAACACAGTATGTTAATCTCCATTCTGCCATAACATTAATATTATTATTAAGATTTTAAAAAATACATAGTGTGTTTGAACGTCAGAGGTATATATCTCTGAATGAATTTAATGAACCAATCACAATCCAGTATTTACTGAAGTCATGGTAGAATGATGTTTCAGCATGGCTATTATCACTATTTTGAAGACTTAACACAAATGTCTGCTTTATTATGGGAAATCATTGTCATCAAAAAACAAGTTTATCATTTAGAACATCTTTGATTTGATTCATAAATGAGTTATCTCACTCTATCTCTCTCACTCACTCACTCACTCACTCACTCACTCGCACAAACTCACTCACACACACAAAAGCACTTGCTTCACATAAACTTTCCTATCATAATCCACAGCATACTCAGGAGCATGTATGATATAATTGCCTTGGTAGTGTGAATGACCATTAGCTGTTTTTAGATGTGTTGTATAGTTGGATATCACAGTGTTTTCAGAAAGCAGTCTCCAAAACACCGAACAATTAGGGTCCAAAACACAACTATGATGCAAACATCAAATACATCAGCACTAAGTAAAATATTTGTTGTTTTGGTCATTTTTAGACACTACCAAACATAGGTGTTTGTATATATGTGCATCTTCAACAGGAAGTAGCAAAACAAGAAGATTGGCCCATATCAACAAGAGCAGTTTGAAAGCCAACATTTTAGGAGTGTAATTGGCATGATTCTATTGTAGGCAATGATGGACAATTTCCTGATCAACTTTCTTAAGTCTACTGCACATCTATTGTTAATGCCCTTTTTCAATGGATAGTCTGTAAACTAAATTTTGGGCAAAATGTGTACACATTTGAAAACTGGTTTTGACTAAGCAATTACAAACAGTATGAGAATATGTCTAGGCTGAAAGCAGTCTCAAAAACACCGAAATATTAGGGTCCAAAACACAACTATTATACAAACATCAAAAACATCAACACGGAGTAACCATCAATTTTGGGGGGTAATTTTTAGGCACTGCCAAACATAGGTGTTCCTTGTGCCTTGGATGTGTATTTCTTGAGCAACCTTCCAAAGTCTAAATCATGTCTATTGATAATGACTTTTGGCAATGGAAAGATACATCTATCAAGCACACAATGTCAACACTGTACACCTTGATTCAAATGCCTGTTGTTTTCTCCTGCACCATAAGTCAGGAATCAACAATATATTCTGACAGAAATTCTCCCCGCTGCAGACACTAATCAAGGGATGTCTTCTTCCTCATCTATAATTAAACAACAAGGAAATCTAATTGCTTGCCTTCTGCTGGCTTGTGTGCAATGCACCTCACCTGTCTGAATAATGTATGGAAGCAACTTTTAATTAACACAGGTAGACCAGGGCAGTAGAGGGAACTCTGCCCCCTTAGATATAGTACGTCTGCTAGGGAAGCTCCACCAGGTAAAACCTTACATCTGTATAGTAATATTTAGAAACATTAAGAAATGTTAGGGTGTTAAGGTTCTTCATGTATGTAAATCTTGTATTTGGCTGCTCGTGATTTTTTATTAAATGTCTAAACATTGCAGGGATATGTGTGTTGCAGGTACATATATATGTATGGAAGGAAGTGATTGTGTCTTCATTCCTTGTGTCAATTCCCTAGATGTCATTGCTGTGTCCATTTTATAACCATTTTATAACCTATATTCCTATAGTCTTTGTTTCAACTTGTAGTACATGAACATTGTTGACTCATTTCTGTAGCAACTTATTAACTTAATTTATGGTGTTTTATGTAAGTAAAAAAAGTGCTTTGTCATCGGTGCATGACCTAATATGGTTGTTGGTTCGTCTTCTGCAGAAACTGTTAAGTTTTTGTTTGACCGTTATTGGCTGTTGTTTTCAATGATATTGACATGAATGCAGTTTCTTAAATAACAGTTGACAAATTATGAAACATTATGTCAGGAATTGTTCAAGGGCTGTTTTATTATTTTTTCAGAAGAGATGTGTAGACATGATAGAAAGATTTTGATTTTATCAGGAACTGATAACAATAAGACTATCCTTTTTATGCAAAATATTAGTGTCTGTTAATTCCAGGAATGTCTTCAGAAATTATTAAGTCATTGCAACTCTAATGACGTATATTCTAATGACGTATAGGATTTGCCTTTTATTGATTTCCATGTGTACCCTAGAATTCTTTGACAGAAGGGTATATCTTAGTCCTAGTCAAATAACATATGTAGAATACAACTGTCTCGCATGAAGTAATATTCAGACTGAAAGATAAACTTTCAGTAGCAGTCAAAGTATCTGACCAGGTGCTATGCATCATACAGATCTGGCATGGTCAGAGGATATTGTTGTGTTCTCCATCATGGTAAATATAACCCATGAATCAAGCCTAACCTGACATGTTGTGTAATGTCCAATATCTTCTGGAAATCAGATACTGTATCGATATTACGTGGATATTACATCAACGCCAGAGGATAATCAGTCTCGATTATTTGCCAAAACAGATGTGATTGCATTGAGAGTGAGTGAGTTGGTTTTAACGCCGCTTTTAGCAAATACATGTATTCCAGCAATATCACTGCAGGGGACAAAAGAAGTGTGCCCATGAGGGAAATCAAACTCAAGTCTTCAGCATGATGAGCAAACACCTTTACCACCTAGGCTACCCCACCTTCCCAGATAAGAAGTAATAAAAGTGATGTATGAATCTGTGATGACACCAGGTGTCTGAGTGAATTTACTTTTACGCCACACTCAGCAATATTCCAGCTATATGACAGCGGTTTGTAAATAATTGAGTCTGGACCAGAAAATCAAGTGATCAACAGCATGAGCATTGATCTACACAACTGGGATACAATAACATGTGTCAACCAGGTCAGCTAGCCTGACCACCCAATCCCATTAGTAGGTGTCTGAGAAAAGGATAAACTTGTCCAAACATACCCATGGCACCATGACAAAGAAGTGTTTGTTAGTTAACTAATCCTGCATCTTACCATATATTCCTGCCATATGTTGGCTGCTTGTCACATAAATGTATGGAAAGGCGTGATTAGTTAACTACAGCGAGTTCAGATCTCATTCCCACATGGGCACAATGTGTTAAGCCCATTTCTGGTGTCCCCCGCCATGATATTGCTGGAATATTGCTAAAAGCGGCGTAAAACTAAACTCAGTCAGTCAGTCAGATCTCATTTTAGAGAATTCTGGAAAGTCCTTCCACTTATTCAGAGTCTATCATATGTCTAACCCTGAATTGATGTCCTTTTTTAAGTTGTGTTTTTCTGGAACATGCTGAAAATGTTTTGTGCATCATCATGTACATTCGGACAATGGGCCTTTTTTCATTTGGTTTATGGATTTTCAAAAAACACTTTATTCAAGCTGAGGCTTGAGTTACTGCCACACACTGTCAACACCGCATTGTCATGCAAATCATTGCCGAAGAGGCTCCTTCTGCAGGTAGAGAGTTGTGATGGTTAAGTGCTCTCATTACTGCATGGCAAACTTCTCAAAATACAATGTTCTGCATGTTTTTTTACACATTATACATCCTATAAAACACATCTGTTGGTTCACACAGTGTCACATTTCAAGACATACTTCCAGTTTCAATAAACAAAATGCGAGTTATTCCACTATTTTGGCCACAAACTAAAAAACATCTCAAAGAAACTATTTCAGAAATATTTAAGAATTTTTTTATAACATTAAAGATAGTGTTTATCAACATTGAAGGAAGCTGTTTCAAAGATTTCAAGAGACTTTCACATGAAAAATCTCTTTTACATCATTAATGAAACTATTTCACAACATGTTTGTGTGTTCTGGAATGTGATAGAAGAATACTTGTATAAAACACGATAACACCTGGTTAATTTTCTTCTAATACTGTAAAAATAACAACTGTAAAAAGTTGAGTCATGATGAAAGTAATTTCCAACATGGATTTTGAAATGAAATATGTATATCTTTCTGATTGTACTTTTACAAGGTATATCCCCAGAGCAAGACCTAGTTTGTGTGTAATTCATCGTTATCCTCCATGTCATATTGCAATGAATCTATGCAGCCATTAACCACTCATTCACACATTCATGTAAATAACAAGATGTATGTTGCTGTTGTTTGTGAAGTACTTTACACATAAAGCATGAAACCAGTGCTAATCCTATGCATACTCAAACCTTATACTCAGTGACCAGTGTTCTTTTCTTTTAATCTTGAGGATTGTCAATTGAAAGATTGTTTTTGTTTTATGTTGACATCATAAGAAAATATACATATGCATTAAATAAATTTGAAAGTATTTGACGGGATACATTGCGTCCCTTTACACATTGTTTAGTCTGAAGATTATGTCATTTCTGGTCAGGATGAATAGAAGGGTTATCAGGTTTTTGTATTTCATTCCACATTACCTTTTGCAAAATGTTGATTGGTAGATTAGTAAATTAGTAACCAATTTATTAAAAATAATTATTTATGTAGTAACACAGGTAGAAATGTTGAAGTAACTCACCAGCAGAGTAAGAATTACAATTTTTGTTTGCTGTGGAACAATTTTTTCGATCTTTACTCTGAAAAGATGGGCATGCAACTTTCAGGGGATGACAGTTTTGGGGGACAACAAAACAATTTCATTTTAGGGGGAGGTGGGGATAGGGGTAAACTGGGGAACAAATTATCAGAATATGTATTTATCAGCCTCCTTGTGTTAAGCCCATTGTTGGTTGCAAAGGACAAAGACCAAAATGTACAATGTTCTTATAGTTTTAAACTAACCAAGTTGGAAAATATAACTTCAGGATTATTTCCCTCACATTCTTACATAAAAATAGTCTTTTGGATTATTGTTTTACTTAAAAGATAAATGACTACTTTATGTTAATATAAGATGTCTATGGTTTGAATATTGACAGGACTGATTGATAAAGCTGAACAGTGAAATGAGCAATGCATGACTACAATGATGCATAATCAATATTCAATACTGTCATTCTTATTTCCAGAGTTGGAAGGCCAGTATTTCTGAAGAGGTTACTCTCCCCATCTCCAGTTTACGACCAAATGGATTCCTGCATCTAAAAGAGAACCTGAGAGTAAACGCATCATGACATCTAGGTAGGCAACCTTGAGAATTGCATGTCATTGTTTGATATCTCAGTGGCTTTATTCAATGAATATTTTAATCAAGCATTGAGAGTGAGTTTAGATCCACTATTATGGACTGAATATATAAGTTAGATGAGATGGTATTAAACAATCTGAAATGTTTGTTATTTCATAATTTGGTAAACATTTAATAATCCTTCAGTCAACGAACTGTTTATTCAGACAAGGCAGTATAGGGTAAATGTGATGAAAAACACAATCTAAAAAAGACCCACAATAAAACAGCAGTTGACAAATCATACGGTATGTTTCATTACTGAACCATCCTCATTTATCATGTATATTATTATATTAAAATTCCCAGGACCAATTCACACCATGCATGGCATGATTTCAGAAGCAATTTCACCACCTCCATTGCTCCAGTCTTTAACTTAGCACAGTATTACTTTTGCTTGTGTTAGTAATTTGATTGGATGGACATTTTCAGGTTCTCCATGCATGGCTTATACCAAGCTATCGCTGTTACTTGGTCTTGCTAATTTAAGAGGAATACCATGTTCTTCATAACTGAAGATTTATTAGAAGAACTTAACAAAATTTGTGCTCATTACTGGTAGTTTCTATCACCCACCTTGAAACATCCAACATCACTTAAATTGTTTTTACAGTTCGATCTGTGAGGTGAGACATCTTCAGTGATTCAGTCAATTTAATGAAAATGTGAAATAATATCCATGTAATTTCCTTATTTGATGAATACATTTTGACATACTTACTGTGGTCTTTTGGAGAATCAAAATTGATATTAAAATATACTAGTACTGAGAGACACAAATAAAGGATCATAGGAACATTTAAGCGTTTCTTTAATATTTTCCACTTTTCATCACCACAGCTCTTATAATTCAAAACTGGTGATGAAACCTGGAAAATATTAAAGGAACGCTTGAATTTTCCTGTGATCCTTTATTTCTTTCTCTCAGTATGTTATCTACAAATGATGGTGTGTACACTTTGACTATACAGGCACCAAATTTGTACATTGATGAGGAATGTTAATGATGATGCCTAATAGCATTACTCATGGTCAATTGTTAATCTTAAAGTAACACCTTGTGCAATTCAGTTAGGCTGGGTCTCTGTAGGTACTGATAGCCGATTACTAAGTAGGACTGCACGTGCTAAGGTCTCCCATACAAATAAAAATCAATATCTGTCCCATCTGGTAAATGATTCGATTGATTTATATTTCGAGGTGCGTTAGCAAACTTATTGTTCAGCTTGTCACGTAGATATTGAATATGACAAAGCATGCCTTATAATGACTCCACCCTAGTCTCATGTGTATACAATAACTGTCTTTTCAGCAACAGTTTTGTCATATATTCAGCATTTTGCTATAGTTGTGTGTTATATATTTCATTGAAGTGAAGTGCTGTGTTAGGGTTAGAGTTTAGCTGCAATGTTGCATTATATTCAGCATTTAGCTGCAGTTTTGTCTTAATATTCAGCATTTAGCTACAGTGTTGTGTTATATTCAGCATTTAGCTGCAGTTTTGTCTTAATATTCAGCATTGAGCTACAGTGTTGTGTTATATTCAGCATTTAGCAACAGTGTGTTATATTCAGCATTTAGCTGCAGTGTTGTGTTATATTCAGCATTTAGCTGCAGTGTTGTGTTATATCCAGCATTGAGCTACAGTGTTATGTTATATTCAGCATTTAGCTGCAGTGTTGTGTTATATTCAACATTTAGCTACAGTGTGTTATATTCAGCATTTAGCTACAGTGTGTTATATTCAGCATTTAGCTACAGTGTTGTGTTATATTCAGCATTGAGCTACAGTGTTGTGTTATACTCAACATTTAGCTACATTGTTGTGTTATATTCAGCATTTAGCTGCTGTGTTGTATTATATTCAGCATTTAGCTACAGTGTGTTATATTCAACATTTAGCTACAGTGTTGTGTTATATTCAGCATTTAGCTACAGTGTTATGTTATATTCAGCATTTAGCTACAGTGTTGTGTTATATTCAGCATTTAGCTACAGTGTTTGTTATATTCAGCATTTAGCTACATTGTTGTGTTATATTCAGCATTTAGCTACAGTGTTGTGTTATATTCAGCAGTTAGCTACAGTGTTGTGTTATATTCAGCATTTAGCTACAGTGTTGTGTTCTATTCAACATTTAGCTGCAGTTTTGTTATATTTAGCTACAGTGTTGTGTTATATTCAGCATTAAGCTACAGTGTTGTGTTATATTCAGCATTTAGCTACAGTGTTGTTATATTCAGCATTTAGCTACAGTGTTGTGTTATATTCAACATTTAGCTACAGTGTTTTGTTATATGCAGCATTTAGCTACAGTGTTGTGTCATATTTAGCATTTGGTTAGACTTCCGCTCGTATCCCCCCTAAATTATAACGATGAGGAAATATTTCTTTCGGTGACATTTTTAGAATTTGGCTATTTCTTTCAGTATGTTCAGATACAATTACAAAAACATGTTAAAACTCATCCTTATCAGATGAGGAATATATATTCAGGTGATATGATTTGACTAGAATGAAATTTAAGGGGGGATCCGATCGGAAGTCTTTCCCGGCATTTAGCATTAGTTTACAGCTTTAAGTCATATTCAGCACTTGCCTGGATAATTTCAGGTCATGTTGAGCATTTGGCTACAAGTTTAAGTCATATTCAGCAGCTCTTAATTGGATAGTTTCAGGTTCTGTTCATCATTTGGCTACAGTATTAAGTCATAGTCAGCAGCACTTAATTGGATAGTTTTAGGTTATGTTCAGCATTTGGCTACAGTTTTAAGTCATATTTAGCAGCACTTAATTGGATAGTTTTTGGTTATGTTCAGCATTTGGCTACAGTTTTAAGTCATAGTCAGCAGCACTTAATTGGATAGTTTCAGGTCATGTTGAGCATTTGGCTACAGTTTTAAGTCATATTTAGCAGCACTTAATTGGAGAGTGTTAGGTTATGTTCAGCATTTGGCTACAGTTTTAAGTCATATTTAGCAGCACTTAATTGGATAGTTTTTGGTTATGTTCAGCATTTGGCTACAGTTTTAAGTCATAGTCAGCAGCACTTAATTGGATAGTTTCAGGTCATGTTGAGCATTTAGCTACAGTTTTAAGTCATATTCAGCAGCACTTAATTGGATAGTTTTTGGTTATGTTCAGCATGTGGCTACAGTTTTAAGTCATATTCAGCAGCACTTAATTGGATAGTTTCAGGTTCTGTTCAGCATTTGGCTACAGTTTTAAGTCATATTCAGCAGCACTTAATTGGATAGTTTTTGGTTATGTTCAGCATTTGGCTACAGTATTAAGTCATATTCAGCAGTAGGCTGGACAGTGCTGTTCACTGTTGAACTGCAGTTTTAAGTTACATTCAGAGCCCAGAGACCAATGTGTAATGTCCATTCTAATGATGATCACCAGCTATAGGAAGTATTTTATTCATTTCATTTTGTCAAATGATTGGAGAGGTTGGGTGGAGGAGGGTGTTCCTGTTTGTAAAGCTTGTATAATTTTACTAAATATCTGGGTTTGATCCCAACATGCCTGCAATCCCTATGTATAATGACAGAAAGAAATCATAGATGCCAGCTTCTCTCTTATGAGGAACACAATGGTTTGGAGTATCATTCACCTGATGAAGGAATAAGCATATACAACCACACATTGTGTTTCTCATAAAACATTCACCTGATGAGGGAATAAGCATATACTCCAAAACATTGTGTTTCACATAATACATTCACCTGATGAAGGAATAAGTATATACTCCAAAACATTGTGTTTCTCATAATACATTCACCTGATGAAGGAATAAGCATATACTCCAAAACATGGTGTTTCTCATAATACATTCACCTGATGAAGGAATAAGCATATACAACAAAACATTGTGTTTCTCATAATACATTCACCTGATGAGGGAATAAGCATATACTCCAAAACATTGTGTTTCTCATAATACATTCACCTGATGAAGGAATAAGCATATACTCCAAAACATGGTGTTTCTCATAATACATTCACCTGATGAAGGAATAAGCATATACAACAAAACATTGTGTTTCTCATAATACATTCACCTGATGAGGGAATAAGCATATACTCCAAAACATTGTGTTTCTCATAATACATTCACCTGATGAGGGAATAAGCATATACTCTAAAACATTGTGTTTCTCATGAAACATTCACCTGATGAAGGAATAAGTATATACTCCAAAACATTGTGTTTCACATAATACATTCACCTGATGAAGGAATAAGCATATACAACAAAACATTGTGTTTCACATAATACATTCACTTGATGAAGGAATAAGCATATACTCCAAAACATTGTGTTTCTCATAATACATTCACCTGATGAAGGAATAAGCATATACTCCAAAACATTGTGTTTCTCATAATACATTCACCTGATGAAGGAATAAGCATATACTCCAAAACATTGTGTTTCACATAATACATTCACTTGATGAAGGAATAAGTATATACTCCAAAACATTGTGTTTCTCATAATACATTCACCTGATGAAGGAATAAGCATATACTCCAAAACATGGTGTTTCTCATAATACATTCACCTGATGAAGGAATAAGCATATACAACAAAACATTGTGTTTCACATAATACATCCACTTGATGAAGGAATAAGCATATACTCCAAGACATTGTGTTTCTCATGAAACATTCACACGATAAAGGAATAAGCATATACTCCAAAACATTGTTTCTCATAATACATTCACCTGATGAAGGAATAAGGAAATATATACTGAGGTATTTCTAAACATTTTGAAGCTGGATGTGATTATACCAGTGAGTGTTATTGAAAAACACCTCTATAATACATCCTCAACCTTTCACTACTTTTTCCCAGAAGCCACATAACCTTGTCTCAGTGTTAAAACCTTCTTCCTCAGAGGTTGCTGTGTTCCATCAGTGTTATTTCAACATTGGCCTTTCAATATCTGATTATGTGTAGAAGTTTGACACTGTTTTATCATTGATTCAGCATTGGTTTTTCCAATTTTGAGGCCGCCATGTCTGCCTCAGGGCAAAAGGGGTGTCTGCATTCCTGCACATGCCCTCTGGATCCGCCTATGACATAGCTCAGTGAACTGCGCACCCCTTTTGCCCTTTTGCCTTGAGGCCGAGATGTCTGTGCGAAAGGAAACGATGTTAAATTTACAATATTTCCTTTTTATCAAGTTCAAAATTCGGACAAAGTAAAACAAATTTTAAAAGAACACTACTTCATAGACAAGTACAAACCAATGTTAAACCATTGCAAGCTGTGACCTTGTCACTCTAGAATGTTGTCCCTATTATGACCTCACAATATATATGTAATGACGTCATACTGTAACCGCTACAATTTCCCTGAAGAGTAAAGAACGAAACATGTTGGAGAAAAAGGCATTCTGTTTTTATTTATCTATGCAATATATATATATATATATATATTTATATACATAACATATAGTGACTGCTTTTAGTGAGTCTAAACTTTTGATGGGTAGTATAGCTGGAATATTGCTGAGTGCGGCGTGAAACTAAACTCACACACTCCAATTTTGAGAATATGCTGTTACTGACATACTTCCACCATTGATTCAAGATGAACCTTTGAGTATTGAAACTATGTGTAAATCTTTCAGAGTTTTCAACATTAATTTAACACTGTTGTGCCTGCTGGCAACTTGCCCATTTGTCAGTAAATTCTTGCCCTTCTAGCATCTTATGAATGGGCAAGAAGCCACCCTGAAACACTGTGTACAAAGACGTAATAATCTGATTGTGAAGTGACAGTGGTGCGCAGTTCACTGAGCTATGTCATAGGCGGATCCAGAGGGCATGTGCAGGAATGCAGACACCCCTTTTGCCCTGAAAGTTTATTAAATGACCATTGAAACTCTGGTGAACACAAAGTGAAGTGTGCACATGCATGCACGCATGCACGCACGCACACACACAAACACACTTTCTCAAAAAGCTGTATCCGCCCCTGACACATTATCAAACTTATCCAGTTGAGTGATTCCAATCTTTATATTTCATATGACTGCATAAATTCACAGGTGTGAGGTGGAAAAAAAATAACAAAAGTTGCTGTTTGTTTTTGCATCCATTGGACATGCAGGATCAAAGGGTTTTCACTGTTTGTTGATAAAATCATGGGCAGACATTGAGGAGCACATAATCCCATGATTGTTTAGATAGTAAACTAGCGTCCAAAAGAAATGCCACCAAAATAAAAATTATCATAAATTGTCAAAATATTTGCCAATCTGCTGAAACACTGCTGAAAACATATCCCTTGAACACAACCTGTCTATTCCCAGTGAACAAGTGCACGAGATTTTGATGATTGGTGAGTTAAATGAATTCGCACAGAAAAAATGGAAATTGTGCACAAAGTTACCCGTATGAGATGAGGGTATAAAACCTGACTAGATTTGTTCTCTCTCATCATGTGACACGATTGAAAGCAGCCAACATGCCTCGATTGACCAAAGAACAGAGGGAAAGAGCAATTGGTATGCTTCAGATGGGCACAACACAGGAGCACGTGGCTAGGATCATGGGATGCTGCAAGTCCACCATCGCCAGACTTGTCACACGTCACAGACAGACTGGCAGTATTGCTTACAGACCCAGGAGTGGCAGACCATAGGTCACAGCCCCACAGGAAGATCGATATTTACGGGTGCTTCATCTGAGAAACCGCTACCTCACTGTGACGTCGTCAAGCGCCAATAGCCTTGGACGTGCAGTCAGCAGACGGACCGTAGCAAGACGACTCCGTCAGCATGGTATTCGGGCCTATCGACCTTTCAAGGGCATGACGTTAACGCTCCGACACCGACGTGCCAGATTGAGGTGGGCCAGGACTGTAATGCAGTGGCAGCAGCGAAACTGGCGAAGAGTGCTCTTCAGTGACGAGAGCAGGTTCCAGCTCTTCAAATCTGATGGTCATGTTCGAATCTACCAACGTCGGGGCGAACGGACGGCACCTGCTTGCATCCAAGAAGTGGAGCATTACGGCGGTGGAAGCGTTGTGGTCTGGGGCTGAATTTGTGGACCAGAGGACACATCTCGTCATCATCAACGGTAATCTCACCGCACGCCGTTACAGCGACGAGATTTTACGGCCTGTGGTGCTGCCTTACCTGCAATGTCACCCAAGGACTCTGTTTCAACAAACAAACGGCACACCTCACACAGCTCTTGGATCACTAGTGACTTCCTCAAAACTAACAACGTCAACCTGCTACAGTGGCCAGCGAGATCACCCGATCTGTCTCCAATCGAACACCTCTGGGACCAACTGGGGCAACGTATTCGGAAACGTCAAGAGCCGCCATTGACTAGGGACGCATTGCTAGGGGTGGCCACACGATACTGAATCATCTGTGTTGTTCAGGACAGTTTAAGACCTTAAAGACGAATCAGCGTTGGCGATAGAATACTGGACACTGCACCCCTGTGTCATCCATGTGCCTTCAGAACACGAACTATTTCATTTTTCTAACTGAAAAGTTTCAAGAACTGTTGTTGAATGATTGTGTTTTACAATACAACACTTCTTGTTACCATAATTTGCTTTTGTTGTGTTTTAGTGAAGAAAACTGTTTGGTGGCGTTTCTTTTGGACGCTAGTTTATATTTCTATCAAGTTTTACCATTAACAACAGACAAAGATGGTGTTTGTATGAATCTTGTTTTCAGACATAAGCTGACGAAAAGAAAGAATTGTTATTAGGGCACAGTGGTAACATCTACCTGTAGGGTAGCCTAGTGGTAAAAGCATTTTCTCATCACACCTAACACACAGGTTTGATCCCCACATGATAGACTAACAACTAGTCTCTGAAATGAACATATTTTACAGAAAAAAAACCAGTTCATAATAAAAAAAAAGTAAAATGAAAAGGAGTCCTGAGACTTTCTTCATTTTCAGTTTCCTGAAACTGTGGAAATCTAGACTTGGAATTTCTTGGATATGTTTGTTTCAGGGTCTGTATGACAGACTACGCACATGTGTATTATATGTGAAGCCCATTTCTGGTGTCCCCCACTGTGATATTGCTGAAATATTGCTGAAAGCAACTTAAAACTATATTCACTCACTCACTGGATTTCATGAGCTAACATTCTTGTTGAGTGCCTTCATTAACATTAGCATGTGTTCTCATACACAGCATCAGTATCAATGTCTCATGTACACATGTCATCAGTTACCAATTGCGCAGATCGATGCTCATGCTGTTGATCACTGGATTGTCTGGTCCAGACTCGATTATTTACAGACCCCCCCATATAGCTAAATATTGCTGAGTGCGGCGTAAAACTAAACTCACTCACTCACTCAATGTCTCATGTTGGTGTTGTTTGGTTACAGGATGATGTCATTGATTCAGCAGTTGGTCATATTTATGGCCTTGTTGGTTTCCATGGTGATGGGTCAAGCAACAGTCCGTTTCTTGGATACAAACCTTGTTGTAAATGAAGGTGATCAGTTTGACTTGAGAGTACAAAGAACTGGAACCATAACTTCTGAGTTGGTGGTTATTGTTGAAGTAAGTATCCTTTCGTTGTTATCTCATATTCATCATGTTGTTATCTTCTTCATCATCATCATCATCATCATCATCATCATCATCATCATCATCATCACAAGCTTTCAAACAATCATTTAACAGAGTTTCCTAAGTTTAGAATATTAACAAAAACATGTTATGCTGTTTGCTATTGTGAATGTTTAATAGAGTACTGAAATAACTCTTTTCTGAAATGATGATACCGTAATTATCTAATACATACAGATATATTAGAGAGCAGTTGTTTGCTGGAGAAGGACATGGAACTTAGTGGATGATGATTTGATTTTGCATAATGGAGAGTATGTCATATATGGTACATGTATGTTGATGTTTCTTTATGACAATAAACACAATTAAAATCAACAATTTCTGGAAATTATGACAGTTTAATTCAGATAAAAATGATACAGATTGATATTTAATAAGGATAGCCAGGTGCCTTTTGCACAAAATTATGTTAGTGCTATGATGTCATATTCTTTGAAGGGCTGGTGGGGTAGCCTAGTGGTTAAAGCATTGACTCGTCATGCCGAAGACCTGGGTTCGAATCCCCACATGGGTACAATAAGTGAAGCCCATTTCAGGTGTTCCCCGCTGTGATATTGCTGGAATATTGCTAAAAGCGGCGTAAAAGCAAACTCAGTCAGTCAGTCAGTCAGTCTTTGACGTAGCCTTATGATAGTCATAGCACTAAGTTAGCTTTGTGCATGTGGGCCCTGAACTTACAATGTCAAAAACATTTCAATGTTCATATATTGGGTATTAAATGCATCTTCCTGATTATAGAAATCACAGTATCAACTTGATAGGCAAATTACAAAATCTATATCTAGTTAAAAATCATTATAAAGTCCGTATCATTTTAATGCCGAAAACATTTTAACTAAATGTGTGTTGTCAATAATACATCTGATGCAAGTAGCATGATGATATTTAAATTTGATTTCGTGATGGTAGGATTGACATACTCAGTATGTCTGACAATAGAGGTGCTCTACTGCCTTAAAGTGGTAATGGCAAAACAGTGTTTGATCTTAGAACCTAATGAGTTGAGCAAAACTGTGTCACTGAAACAAAGTGACTAAAATAGCCAAACTTTCCCTATTTTATCAATGATACTGTTATTGCAGTTTGTTTATGAAATATGAATTTCTAAGGGTCATTCTGTATAAAGTACCAAGAAATCTATAAATTAATGGACAAGTCCTGTGATGTTCCCGGACAGCTCAGTTGATGTCTCAATGCGTCATGGTGTTTCATTATGTCATTGTAACAAAACAGCAATGAAAGTATTGGAGTAATGGATGTATTATTGAATGTATTATTCTTGTACATTGGAAGAGTGGGAAACTGTGGCATGTAATTCCTGTTCATTTAAATCCCCCTGTTTTTATTTAATTTCACACCAAATTCTAGTGAAATTAAATAACATGTTGATTTTTCTAAAAATTCCAAATGGCATTAAATGAAATATTTAAAGCATATATATATAAATAAAACTTAAGTGTAATGTCATAATGGTAATGTTAAAATATAATAGTTTAAATGGTCCCTAGAGGTATATACTATTCTTCTCAACATTAACAGTAAAGGTTTCTGGTTTAGGTGGTCCCTAAGTTTATATTCTAAATGATCACTCATCAAGGCTCAAAGGAGCCCTATAATTTTACATTGTTTTGTCTTATTTTCATATTTCAATGTAGCAAATTATTGCAATATATTTATCTCTTGATATTGAGGGTAAACATTTTGCATGTGGGGGAAAAATTTGAATATGTTATGCTAAAGAATACTAATGACTACTGACACTTTATCAGTAAGTTCATGAATGTGTCTTATTGTATATTGCTAATTTAGTCACTGAATTCAATCTTAGTTCACTAAAACACCACCCAGAAATCATTATTGTTACACGATGTATTTCATTTTGAAAATATTTTAGTAACTGTTAGATTTACTGGAAAACATGAATACTAGTGTTTTGTATTGTTCTTTAAATCATATTCTCACATCTCCATGGATACTGAATCAGTTCTAGAACAGCATGGATGTCAAGATAACATTTTTCCATAAAATGTCTGATAATTATGTTTAAAACTGTAGGCCAGGAAACAAACTAAATAAACATGATAAATTATGTCTGGCAAAATGAAATCTTCATCCAGTAAGATTTCTGTGTTCCTGAAGTCACCTCCATTGTCTACCATCAGCCTTGAAATATGCAATGATGTTTGAGATGTTTTTATTTCCAGATAGGAATTTATACCAATGAGTTTAGAAATCTGAATAATTTTGTTGTTCATCTTTCATATTTTAGATTAAGAAACCAGTAAGTTTGTATATGATATTAATTTACTCACTAAAGTTCCTTTTAGTATGTTTTATCCATGAATAGTTTGTTTACCCTTCAACGAACAATTTGTTTGCCCTGAACCATCCATAATTCATTAAATCAAGACAGGAATGCTGAAACAATTCCATTGTGAAGGATCAAAGATATGATGAAGTGCATTTCTATCTCGATACATTTATTAGCAAACGTGATCAGAATCTGAAACAGAATGCCTAAATATTTTTGTATCCTTGTTATTTTCTGTCAAAGTTTTCAATTTGGTAGTTATACATTCTTTTCATTGTTTTCACAAAACTGCTTGGTCGTTCTGGCCATGACATGAAATCTGATTCAAATGAATTAGCTGGTTGAAAGGGCAGGCAAACTAGATTGTTTTTGTTAGATTTCACAGACTAAAGGTCTTTGTGAAGATATTTTTTGCATGTTGACCACAATCATCTGGAAATATAGATAGATTTTTGAAAATAACTTTAAGTCTCTAATGATTTTAATGAATTGAGTGTTCAAATATCATTATTAGACTGAATTTTTGGTGTTTCATTCCAGTGCTTGTATAGTCTATGTTAAAACATACAGTATCCGTATATTGAGGCATGGGCAGGGATTAAAGATTATCCTAGCTGTACCATTACAGTCAAAACGGTACCAACTAATGTATATAATAATGTAAAAATCCTATTTTGTTACATTTGGCAAATATGAAAACATTGTTGGTAAATTCATATCACATATTCAGTATGATGTTTTCATCAGTTTCTATTGTTAAACGCACAGATATATGAAAACAATTTTTAAGATATAGATTAGACAGTGTTTTAAAAAATATAATGGTAGTTTTTAAGAAATGCACTTTTTAAAACCGTAATCTGCCTTTAAGAAGGTGAGCTACAGAACCTTGTGGTTCTCACTTAAGCCATGTGTTGTGTGTGTCTGTTGTTATGCTGTTTTAATGCCTTGTGAACGTTGTTACTGTAGTATGCATCTTGTAGAGTAACATTTTAGTATGAATGTTTTTGACATCACTGAATTAACATTCCACTGATTTTTGTATGTCTACCTCCAGTGGTGATATCATCAATAAGTTTTTAGAAGTCCAATGAAATATACATGGTCGCTTTGCTGCAGGACAGAATTTTACATGTAGCTCTATCTCAACAAAGACATTTCCATAATCATAATACATTCCTACTAGCAGAGGCCATTGTAAGATTGCACCTATTTTATGAGGATATAGTGAGGACACCACCTGCCCTATGGACATTCCACATCACAATCACACACAGTTGTTCGCCTAAACAAAACACAGTAACATTGCAACAAATTAAGATAGAATCATTACCATAACATCTGCTATTTAACTAATGCCTCAAATTTGGAAATGTCCCCATATGTCTGCCTTAAAATTATTTAGAGACTTTTCGAAGGCTTTGGATGTTGTAACCCTGGTCAGACAACTTTTGAGTGAAAATCATGAAATTGTGTGAAATATTTGAATGGTTGATTGTACTTCAAAAGTTATTAAATATTGACACCAAATTGCTGTTGGAATGTTTACTGTTGACAGCTGAAATCATAGTTCTTGTCGTGCCTCTTCTGAAATGTTATGCACAGCCAAGGCTGTTTCCCTTCTCTCTTTCATTAGTGGTTCCGGCTTGGATATCAGTAGGAGGGAATCAGCTATCTGATTCTGACTGCTATAAGATAGTTGGTATGCCTAAAACTGAAGTAACACATCTAAGCTTAATTGGCCATGTTTTCATTTTGCCAATCTGAGCAGAAAATAAAATTCATAAGCATACAAAAAAGTATATATTTATATATGATGGATGGATGTGGATGTAGACAAGTATGGATGGATGGATGGATGGATGAATGGACTGGTTTGAAGAGGACATGACATGTTTATTTGGTCAATTACATTACCTCCTGCACTCTCACCAGGAAAGCCATAAAGCAGTTTATGAATATAATGTTTTCAATTAATTTCATCTTCACTGACAGAGAATCTCTTGTTTTAATCAGATATTTTATGATTACAATATATATAGCAGCCCCCATGAAACTGATCGACACCTGGCATCGATTCCGTCACATGCTGTAATGCGCACTTTGTGTATGTGCACTCACATGACCAATTGTTTGCATGTACTGTGACGTAGCTGGAGACTGTCGTGTCACTGCGTCCTCACCACACACTCCAGATATATAGTGTTACAACATCAGTCATATAAGTACATAACATTTCAGACTTAAACTTGTTTTTTTTCATAGACTAATATTTTTCCATAGATTTCCCCAACCATTCTTACCCTTTTCATCATTTTCCACTAGACATAGTTTTTGCCATTATAAACTCCTGATAGCGTTTAAATTTTTTAGGTAATTATTAGCTTACAGTTACTCCTCCATACTTTGCTATGTAACTTTCATTGCTAGTCAGTATGTTAGTATGTCCAGTTTGCCTAATAACAAACTATATTTTATTCCTTCAACACCTCTGTAGTTTATATCTTTTCATGAATGTTGACATGTTTTCAGAAGTTTAACAAAATATTAAAATATTTTTGAGGACACAGAATATCCTTTATCATTTAATCAAAGATGTATAAGCAATAATGTTTATCAGGGATGTGTGTAAGAAGTTAATTTTTGTAATTTGTTTTTGTTATTTCTCAAGTATACATCCAATATAAGTTTATACTTATACATATAGTTTATACAGATATCATTTTGGAAAAATGTTTATGAATATAGAGAAAGTAATTGGTACATTGTACATTATTCACTTGATGAGAGACACATTTAGTGACAAATGATTAACAATTCCTTGTTTGTGTAGATTGAAAGTGATCTCAGTGATGACTTTATCGGAGACACTCAAGTTGCTAGATTCACTCCAACTGGTTCCGACACAGTGGCCGTGACCTTCACAGTTAGAGATGACGATCTGGCCGAGCCTGATGAAGTCAGCATCCTGCAAATCACCATTGTGGAAAGAGCGGCCATTGCTGTTGATCCTTCCCAGACGCGGGTCACCATTCTGGCCAATGATGATGCTTATGGTGTCTTTGGCTTCACTGAGGTAGATAATTCAAATTTTGTAAAATGATATGAATGTGATTTTGTGAGATTATATGTTATCAAGGGAGGTTTTACTTTCCATAACTACCTCACAACATAGTGTTTTAGCGGCACTGAGGATATTGGCTCAGTGAAAGCTTGATGTACGAGATAGCATTAGTTCCAATGATATTGTCATGGTAAGTATGTTTCCTCTTTAACAGCCTATTTCTGGTGTCCCAGCCTTACTATTGCTGGAATATTGCTGAAAGTGACGTAAAACCATACTCACTCACTCAGGTGATTAACAAAACATAGCACCAACTGTAAGTCAGTCATTAAGTCAGGCCAATCTGACAATCACAATCTTTGCTGCGAAAACCAGTATACAGTATATGAAATATGTTTAATGCTGACCACGGTGGGGATGCCAGAAATGGGTCTTCAAGCATAGTGGGGGAATCAAACCCAGGTCTTCAGCATAATGAGCAAACACTTTAACCACTAGGCTATTCAACTACTAACGCTGAAGTTTGAAGGTAAGTTTAGTAGTACTGTTCTGTACAACAGAAAACATAAACACATGACCATTAATTGCATGCTGTTGTTCCTCAGGCATCACCTCGACTGGTGATTGAGAAGACATTCACGGAGGTGATCAACATAAATATCGGCCGACAGAGAGGATTGTATGGCAGTATAATGGTCAGCTATATGGTGAGTGGTCATACCTACAACACACAGTATGACATGATCAGGGCTTTATGACCTTTTCAATGAATGTATTATAAAAAATACTCCACTCCACTTGTTATTGTACTTCCATTAAAATATCATCTTATAGGGATAAAATACACTGATAAGAATGTTTTTATTCAACATATTGACAATGATAACCTGAATTCTTATGATTCTAAGCTTAATTGCCTTCTTCTTGTAAAGTCTGTCATATTTCTATTTCTTGCATTTCATTTTCGTTAAAAAAAGATATAATAATAATTTTAATGCCTGTTGATAGTATTGTTCTTTCAGAGAACTATTTAAACAGGTTTCATTGGGGAAAATGTGAAATAGCAATGAAATATTATGAATTCATATCTGAAAGTCAGTACTGACACCAGGTGTTTATCAAAAGGGTAGCATGTCCTGCTGTACCTCTTGCTGCAACATAACCGCTAAAAACACTCCTTAGCTGCTGTGTGTTACTTCTTAGATGGAGATGCCCCTTCAGATGTTTAACAGATATGAAATTTTTATTTTTACTCTTGCAGATCAATGGAAGCAGTTTGGAGGCTGATGTAGAGAGAGACATCACACCAAGAAGTGGCTTTGTTAGATTTCTGCCAAACGAAAGGGCTAACAACCTTCAACTTCAGATCAGAGCAGATGATGTAAGCTCCTATAAAACTGAGGATGTTGTTCAATTCATTGATTACTGAAATGCATTGAAGACTGTTTTAAGTTAAGGTGATGTCTGTTAAATTTAAGCCTGTCACTCTGCTTCTATAAGGTGAACATACAAACATTACGAAACAACTAGTAGGGTACAGATTATCACACAGATTGGACATGACCTTGTATGATTACATGAATTACCTCAGAGCTCCAGATAAGATTTAGCTCATTTGGGTACTGTACCCACTGGTTTTTTTTGGAGTGGGTATTATGAATGTTGAGTGGGTATTTCATTTCTCGTTACCCACTGCTTTCAAATATGTGCGTATTTCAGTCACTTTACTCACCTAAGTATAACGTCATTGAGTAAGTTTACTAAGCAGGTATGTTCTGCCTTATGTCATACCTAATCAAAACCAACTTAAATATATTGGAAATTATTTCATAAAAAATCACTCATCCTTTACTGACAGTACAACACTAGTCCTATACTAACAGTACAACTTGATAGCAATCGATGCCTTTTTCATTACGCAAGCGATTTTTATACATATATTCCGTTTGCATTTGTTTTAAACTTTTTGCGTATCTAATATTTAAATGCGTAATTGGTACGCAACAATTATTTTTCAATGCATAATTCTATGCGTATTTTACCCAGCTACGCAGCTTATCTGGGCCTCTGATTACCTATTTTTGAGAAACTGTTGATGAATGGAAGTCTCATCACTTTGATCAAGTTTCATTTGTTACATAACTAAAATAAATATTCCTAGAAAAATATATCTTTCTTTTTCCTTCAGATACCTGAAAATGCTGAATCATTTACAGTTTATTTGGTGGATACATCTCCCAAGGCCAGTATTGATGAAACTCTATCCTCATTTACCTTCATCATACAAGCCAATGATGCACCTCTTGGCTTCCGCAGTGTAAGTATGGATTAGTTGCATTCTGATGTGATGGAGCTCGAATGTTGCAGAATAACTCAGTCACACACTTTTGTCCAATTTGCCATCATTTCGTTGAACATACATCAACTATTAATCAGTCTATGTTTTCTCTAACATCTGTTTTCCATCCTTGAATCTGTTATCAGTCAGTCCATGTGTTATCCATCCATCCGTTACTCACCTGTCAATCTGTTACCAATCAGTCGATCCATAATTTATGCAACCATCAGTCATCTGTTCTCCATCCATCTTATATCAATCTGTTATCAATGTTTCGTATATGAATCACTCCATCTACCATCCATCCACACAGGACTATTAATGTTACTATTGGTTTACTTCCAGCCTATGTACAGATTTCCAGAGGGACCAGGCCGTCAGACATATTCTGTACAGGTGAATCGTGGTCTGGCTACTGATGGCATCACCAGAATTGGCTCTCTCTCAGAACAGGCAACAGTTCAGTACACGGTCAGCCCACAAACTGCTCAACGAAATGTAGACTTTACAGCAAACAATGGCCAACTGATATTTGGACCACAGGAAACTGTCAAGACTATTTCATTTGTTGTTCTTGATGATAACCAGCCCGAGATGAATGAAACATTTCTGTTCCGTCTTTCAACATTTTCGGGCGATGTTGTATGGGCTCCTAATGGCCAGACAACCACAGTTGTAATAAGTGCCAATGACAATCAAAATGGAGTCATCAGCTTCAGAACAGAAAATAGCGCAACAATACACCCAGAGGTGAGAGTCAATGAGGATGTATATTCTGAAGCAGTGTTCACAGTTGTTAGGACTGCTGGGACATTTGGTCGTGTGACGGCCAGATGGGAAGTCGGACATTACAACGAAACAACTGACCAAGTAACATCAGATGTGGGGCCGACTGTTGGAGAGGTTGTGTTTCCAAGTGGCGCCAATACAGCTGAAATCAGAGTTACCATTGTTCAGGACACATTCCCAGAGCCAGCTGAGAAGTTTGTAGTGACACTGATGGCAGCAACCGGCGGCGCCACAGTTGAAGGAGTCACCCAAGCTTATCTGCTCATAGAAGACAGTGATGATATGTATGGTAGAATCGAATTTGATTCTGCATTCCAACAACAGATCCAAACTGTAAGTAGAAGAAGTTATGAAGAATAAATCTTCTATTTGAATTCATTTGAATGCCATGCACATTGTAAAGTGTAATTAATTTTCTGTCATTAAAATAATCTAAATATCCAATGAATGAGCACAAAAGCAGCGACTTGATTGGTTGGCTTAGTTACTTGGTTGATGGATCATTGCTTAGAATGTTAATCACATGATTGTCTGGCCCAGATTATTTATTTACAGACCTGAGTGGTGTTAACATGAAAGAACAGTCCCAAGAATCATAAAATATTACATTGTTTGAATATTGCTGAATCTTTTGATAAAGAACAATCCCACCAAATATCAGCTGTTATATAGCTGAAATATTGCTGTGGGTTTTGATGAAGAACAATCCCACAAAATATCAGCTGGAATATAGCTGGAATATTGCTGAGTGTTTTGATGAAGAACAATCCCACCAAATATCAGCTGTTACATAGCTGGAATATTGCTGAGGGTGGTGTTAAATAAATATCTCACTGAATATCACCTGATGATAAATAAATTCCTTTGTAAACAGACCACCACTTCCCGGTCCCTGAAACTTCAGCTGAAGCGTGAAGGAGGGCGATTTGAAAACCTCATCGCCAATATTTCATTGACATACTATGATAATAGCAACAGAGACCGAACAGGTAGAGTTCCATATAACCACACTACCAGATTGCTATTCAAGTGTATGTTGTAAAAGATAGTATAGTATTCCAGTGTTGTTACAACATCACATCCAATACTGTGTTTAAACAATGGTGTTATTGGAGCATAAAGCACTGAAGTGTGAAGTCTACATTTATGTGTAATGTAAATCAGAATGGTTTTCATCATTTAATTTTGTAGATAATATGTTTATTTGGAAATTGAAACTGGGAGCCCTTGATATCAGGGGAAATTTGTTATATTGTTCGAAACGATAAAATGTAAGACGAAACAGTGAATACTCTATTGCTTTGTTGCTCCTGCTGACAGTAAAACACAAATCAGATCGCAAAACTATAATTTAATAGAAACCTATGATACCACTATTATTTTTGTTATTATAAGTGCGCCTCTAATACTGACCAATACTTAGCAGCAAAATGACATTTCAAACAGTGTTGTGAACGCATAAAGAAGCTGTACGACAGAAAAGTAGCAGATGAAGTAGAAAACACTGCCAAGAACGGTAACTGTAAACAGTTTTGGATGACTCTGAAACGTCAGTTTGATTCGTTTTCAAGTACTAGTAATACAGTAAACTCCAGAGAATGGCAGACTTACTTCAGGAACTTATTGAACCCCGATGGCATGACAGGAGACAAAGTGTTATGAACCACTTCATAGACCTGAACACTCATGCAAAGACTGTGATGGTTTTGGTGACAAAGATGCCTTTCTAGAAGACGAAATCAAGGAAGAAGAAATCTAACAGTCAATCCACATCCTTGTCAACGGTAAATCACCGGGTCAAGATGGTATACCCCCAGAACTGTACAAAATGACTAGTGATTTTTTCCTCAAATATCTGAAAATGCTTTTTAATAAAGTACTTGACAGTGGAACTTTCCCAGATGAATGGAACAATGGAATGGTTATCCCCATCTTCAAATCAGGAGACCGAAAGGATCCAAACAACTATAGGGGTATCTCACTTCTCAACGTTATGGGTAAAATATTTACTGATATTATCGAAAAGAGGTTAAGACGATGGGTTGAAACAAACAAACTTATATCAGAGAGTTAAGTGGGATTCCGTCCCGGATATTCTACAGCAGATCACCTATTCACACCTCAATCATTATGTTCAAAATATCTTTGTAAATCAAGGGTAGATTTTATTGTTGTTTTGTAGACTTCCGAAAGGCCTTTGATCTTGTGGACAGGAAAAGAATTTTGACTATACTGCTTCAAAAAGGATGTCACGGAAAAGTAATTAATCTTCTTAAAAACATGTATTCATCGGTCAAGGCGTGTGTAAAGGTGCAAGAAGACGCAACTGAAATATTTTCAACATTGGTCCGGCAAGGCTGCATTCTCAGCCCACTGTTATTTATATTATATATAAATGAACTTGTAACAGCTATGTATAGATCGTGTACAAGTGGAACATTCGTCACCCAAGATATTGAAGACTTGATGCTCCTACTTTTTGCAGATGACATGTTATTTTCGTCTACCATCATCGGTTTACAGAGACAGCTTAATATACTGGAATCCTACTGCTCAGAATCAGGATTACAACTGAATTTTAATAAATCCAAGATTATAGTTTTTAGAAATGGTGGAAAACTAGCACAGAATGAAAAATGGACTTATAAAGGACTACCTATCGAAACCATCACCTACTACAAATACCTTGGACTTATCTTCTCATCATGACTGATATGAACCAAAGCATGTGACACTCTCGCACAGCAAGCTAGTAAGGCATGCCTCGCGATAAACAGATTCCTACAGAAAAAAAATAAAGAAATAACATTTTCAACTGCATGTACGATATTCGACACTAAAGTTATACCAATGCTCCTCTGTGGAGCAGAAGTGTGGGGGATGCAAGTATTCAGCTTCAATTGAAAAAGTTCAGACAAACTACTTTAAACACCTTCTCAAAGTTGGAAAATTTGCTTCAAACAAGGCAATTCTTGGCGACACTGGAAGACATTCGATTTTTATATCAACACAAGTAAAGGCCGTCAAGTACTAGATAAACGTTCTATAAACGATGTAGGAAAAAGAAACTGGACTTCTGATATTCCAGAAACATTGTTCAACATAGGATTCGCACATGAATGGATCTCACAGGATGTCGGAGATGTAAACTATTTCTTATCATGTTTAAAACGGCATCTCAAAGATATATCACTCCAAAACTGGCATCAAGAGATAAACAGTTCAAGTTTCCTTACCCACTACGCTTCATTCAAGTTTTCACTGGAAAGGGAATAAGAGTTTACTTCAAATTTAGAGCTTCCCTAACAAACTTCAAGATAAACAAGATAAACAAGATAAACAAGCTAGGAACCAATAAAGATACAACGACGATCAACCCCATCTGTGAACTTTGTAATTATAACCTGAATGAAGATGAGAACCACGTATTGTTAGTTTGTGGCAAGTATAATCAAGCCAGAACTCTATATCTACAGAAGTTATGATCAGTCTACACAGGCCCACTAACAATTCAGGCAATTTTCATGTAAAAAACCAGTAATGTACAGCACCTAACAGAGATCTACCTCAATAAAATATTCAAAATAAGATCAATATGAAACTAAAATGTTTATGATCATGTGAAATTTATATTGTATCTGTCAACTGTATTATAGGCCTTATGGCCCAAGTACTACTGAATAAACTTCTTCTTCTATTACTTTGTTGTTCCTGCTGACAGTAAAACACAAATCAGATCGCAAAACTATAATTTAATTTAAACCTATGATACCACTATTATTGTTGTTATTTTTGTTCTTATTGTTGTTGTTTTAATTGGTATTATCATTTATATACTGTACTAAAAACACACCTGTGCACTGCTACACACCTGTAGAACTACACAGACAGACACTTGTACATCTACTTCTAACTGCCACACCTTACCACCTACAGCACTGTATGTGACTGTGTTTAAAGTCATTACATACAAGTTTGTATATACCCACTTCTTCCTCTATGTTTGGGAAGATGATGGGGGTTTGGAGGCGGAAGTACATGGATATGTGTCCATGTGTGTAGTTCTATAGGTGCGTGTCTGTGTGTGTGTGTAAGATACAATCAAAACCTTATTGATATTTAGTTTTGAAAGTATCGGTTTCAATATGTTTATGTATTGTTTACATTTTGCAATTGCATCATGTTTTTTTATGTTATGAGAGTTATAAATGATTATTTTTCATGCACAAAGATTGTTAATTAGAACTTTTTAACCTCTGAGAATATAAAATGTTGATCTTTTCATGGACAATTATAAAACATGAAATATTTACGCAATAATGCCGCAAAAATAGGTATCATGATACATATCGAATCGTGACATGGTTATCATGATATGTATCAATTCATGAAACTTATGTATCGTGACGTCCCTAGTGTTTAAAGTCATTAATACTTGTATATACCCATTGTGTTTGTGTAGACGAGGTGCTGGCACAGCGCTTCTTTGAGATGCCTCTACTGCAAGGGATTGACATCATCACCGATCAAGTACCGCTGCTACCTCATGCGTTTCTGCAGACAGGAGGAAGATTTGATGCCAACATTACAGCTGTCATTATTGAAAGAAGTTAGTACTGACACTTACTTCAAACTGAAGTCTTATGGTCCGATATACACTCGACGTATGTATTGCTGAAACATCACTTACATAGTAGATACATGCAGCTGGAGAATACATTTTTGTAGAGCATCTTTTCTTGTTTATAAGAAGTACTTCACACTGTACAAGTAACTCAGACCACAGCAGTCTACAGTTTGGTCTTCAGTGGCAAGGTTACAGAGTGGGTCATCTGAGGTCAGATTAATTGTGTTGACCAACAGATACAGCCAAGCTCAAGAAAATAAACTCCTGTGTATGATGTTGTCTAAAAATGAAACAAAAGGAAAAATAATTTTTAGATAAATGTGATACTGGTAACATAGTTGGTGTTCAGACTTTTTAAAGTTTTTAATGTTCGGGTAACTGTTTTCAGTGTCGTAAGCCGCCATATTGGTGAGTGTGGCGTAAAACTAAACTCACTCATTCAGTGTCGTAACATTTGGATAATGTTTGTAATTCTTCTTTTTGAAACCCAAGTTTCAAGTGTATACTTTCATTAGTGCAGCCATTGACATTATTTTCACTTTCCTGGATCATCAGCTGTATCAACCAGTCTGTTTTCACTTGAGTTTAGTGATGCAGGGTTTAACTTCATATTCAAGAAGGTTCCACTTATACAGTTATGTGTGTGTACAATATTGTGACTGCTTGTACAAGTCCAATTACATTAAAATCAGATCTTATTATCTTTGTTCTTGCTACCACTAACCTAAGAACAAAATATGTTTTAATAAGAATGTGGTATCCCTCTGAGATATCAGGCTGCAAGTAAACATTGGTACAAATCTCTGTCACAGTATACTGACCCTGAGCTGACCAAATCTCTGTCACAGTATACTGACCCTGAGCTGACCAAATCTCTGTCACAGTATACTGACCCTGAACTGACCAGTCCCCCTTATGTGGGTGTCCCCCAGGTTAACAACAACTAACGTCTTTTGGTATGAGGCATCCTCATATTGAACCACTGACCTGCCATACTACAGGCAGATGCACTATCACCAGATCACAAGGTGTTTGTTAAATAAAATATGACATGTAAATATATATTCCATGTTACAGCTCCTGAGCTAGGGAACTACAACAGCCCTGTGATACAGTCTCGGAGGCAAGTCAGCATTCCGATCACATCTGCCACTGCCAATGGGGAGATAGGATTTGCCAACATCTCCAGTGTTATGGTGGAAGAGCCTACATCAGGCGCCAGCACGGTAAGTTGGGACTCAACACCCTAGTCTGTGTTGTACCTTATACTGTAGGGGCGGTAGTGTAGCCTGGTTGGTAGAGTGTTCACTCATCATAACTGTAAGTTGGGACTCAACACCCTAGTCTGTGTTGTACCTTATACTGTAGGGGACTCAACACCCTGGTGGTGTAGCCTGGTTGGTAGAGTGTTCACTCATCATAACTGTAAGTTGGGACTCAACACCCTAGTCTGTGTTGTACCTTATACTGTAGGGATGGTAGTGTAGCCTGGTTGGTAGAGTGTTCACTCATCATAACTGTAAGTTGGGACTCAACACCCTAGTCTGTGTTGTACCTTATACTGTAGGGATGGTAGTGTAGCCTGGTTGGTAGAGTGTTCACTCATCATAACTGTAAGTTGGGACTCAACACCCTAGTCTGTGTTGTACCTTATACTGTAGGGATGGTAGTGTAGCCTGGTTGGTAGAGTGTTCACTCATTGGGACATAACTGTAAGTTGGGACTCAACACCCTAGTCTGTGTTGCACCTTATACTGTAGGGATGGTAGTGTAGCCTGGCTGGTAGAGTGTTCACTCATCATAACTGTAAGTTGGGACTCAACACCCTAGTCTGTGTTGTACCTTATACTGTAGGGATGGTAGTGTAGCCTGGTTGGTAGAGTGTTCACTCATCATAACTGTAAGTTGGGACTCAACACCCTAGTCTGTGTTGTACCTTATACTGTAGGGATGGTAGTGTAGCCTGGTTGGTAGAGTGTTCACTCATCATAACTGTAAGTTGGGACTCAACACCCTAGTCTGTGTTGTACCTTATACTGTAGGGATGGTAGTGTAGCCTGGTTGGTAGAGTGTTCACTCATCATAACTGTAAGTTGGGACTCAACACCCTAGTCTGTGTTGCACCTTATACTGTAGGGATGGTAGTGTAGCCTGGTTGGTAGAGTGTTCACTCATCATAACTGTAAGTTGGGACTCATCATAACTGTAAGTTGGGACTCAACACCCTAGTCTGTGTTGCACCTTATACTGTAGGGATGGTAGTGTAGCCTGGTTGGTAGAGTGTTCACTCATCATAACTGTAAGTTGGGACTCAACACCCTAGTCTGTGTTGCACCTTATACTGTAGGGGTGGTAGTGTAGCCTGGTTGGTAGAGTGTTCACTCATCATAACTGTAAGTTGGGACTCAACACCCTAGTCTGTGTTGCACCTTATACTGTAGGGATGGTAGTGTAGCCTGGTTGGTAGAGTGTTCACTCATCATAACTGTAAGTTGGGACTCAACACCCTAGTCTGTGTTGCACCTTATACTGTAGGGGTGGTAGTGTAGCCTGGTTGGTAGAGTGTTCACTCATCATAACTGTAAGTTGGGACTCAACACCCTAGTCTGTGTTGCACCTTATACTGTAGGGATGGTAGTGTAGCCTGGTTGGTAGAGTGTTCACTCATCATAACTGTAAGTTGGGACTCAACACCCTAGTCTGTGTTGCACCTTATACTGTAGGGGTGGTAGTGTAGCCTGGTTGGTAGAGTGTTCACTCATCATAACTGTAAGTTGGGACTCAACACCCTAGTCTGTGTTGCACCTTATACTGTAGGGGTGGTAGTGTAGCCTGGTTGGTAGAGTGTTCACTCATCATAACTGTAAGTTGGGACTCAACACCCTAGTCTGTGTTGCACCTTATACTGTAGGGATGGTAGTGTAGCCTAGATGGTAGAGTGTTCACTCATCACACTGAAGATACTGGTTTAATTCCCCAAATACGTGTAATGTGTGAAGCCCATTTCTGGGTCTCCCACTGTGATATTACTGGAATATTGTTAAAAGCTTTATACTGTAGCTGACATACAGTATTATCTCCCAAAATGCTATTGAACATGTGTCTATGTTGATGCGTTAATGCATTAGAGGTATTTATATTTGTGTCAGTGCACACCTGTTATGCTTAATGATGGCCACTGTTCTGTTGGATTATTCTACAAGCTGAGCTTGCCCTATCGTTCAAGTGTAAAGTTTATAGTATGATAGTGGCATATTGTTGCACATTTAAAGTGTTTGGTATCCCCTAAAGTATCAGTCTTGATAAACAGAATATGATTTGATTGAGCTATTACCTGTAATACTGATATAACAGCATGGTGGTACTGTATAGATTCGGGCCAGATTAGGTTCCATGTATCCAGCAGAGGCAGACCTTATGTTTTATCAGATTTTTCAGATTTTATTGTGCATACTTGGAAATTTCAGAGAATCCTTTCTATAGGAGATCTCAAATGGTGAACATCCTGGGATGACAGCTTCTCAAGAAAAACCTGAAAATATGGAAACATTTGTCTACATTGTAAACGTAGCAATCATTTTGTGCGACACTCTCAATCCAGATGTACTCCCATACATGTGAGACAGACATCTTGCTGCTATTGAATGTGATGACATCACACTTGAATGCCATGACATCATCACACAATGGATGACATCACATGTTTCTGTGACAAATGAACCTTCCTGGCCAGCAAAATGTGGAAAAATGATGATTTGAAGTGTTATGATAACTATATACCAAGTTAAATATATTTGATTACCAGATTTAACATGTAAGTAATGTGGTATCCATTTTGCCAAACCGCAAGCCTGGAATTGAGAAACAAAAATGACTTTGAGATTTCCAGACTTTTAATCCCTTAAAACTATGTTTTTACATCAGCATGATCTCCTACTCTTTTTACAATTGTCAATATTTCATCTTGATACAGAATGTGAATAGTAGTAAGCACCATGGACCCAGCTATGTTTGTGACAACACCACAATAACGATGATTATCTTTATTGATCACTCCAGTTTAAAAGACCTGACCCCTCATCCAAACTTTCTCACTCACTCAGACCCATGAAGGTCCGGGTTAGAATATTGATCTTCAGTAACCCATGCTTGTCGTAAGAGGCAACAAATGGGATCGGGTGGTCATGCTTGCTGACTTGGTTGACACATATCATCGGTTCCCAATTGCACAGATCGATGCTCATGCTGTTGATCACTGGATTGTCTGGCCCAGACTCGATTATTTACAGACCGCCACAATAAAAATAAACTCATTCACTCACTCACCCAGGTTCCGCTGAAGATCAGCCGTGAAGGAAGCAGTGGATCAGTCAACATCAGGTGGGTCGTGACAGCAGTCGGGGAGTCGGCAGCATCTGTTACAGCCAATGACTTTAACAGTATGACAGGCGTCGTTACCATGCCATCAGGTAAATGACTCTGGATTGCTGTCATATAGCCATATCATTTCCCTTCACCCCTGTCCTCACCAGAAAAGCTTGTCACTAAATGAAACAAGTATGGAATTGCCCATCTCAATTCTAGGTGTTAGTTTCTGTCAAAACTACATAGTTTCAGGGAGTAGCCATTAGTCTTTCAGGATAAATATTGCAGTTGTCTTACAGTTGTAATTGTGGATTATGGCAGATCTGCTGTTCTGTTTCATTAAAGATCAATTATGATATCGGCAATATTTTTGTGTTATGTTTGTAATATACATGTGGGCTGATGTTAAGTGTGTTGTGGTAGGCTCTGTTAAAAATTAACTATATAAAATTAAAAATGCACTTAACCATGCATACACAACGCATATAAATTAGCTTTCATAGCCTTATGGCTCTCAGCCATTGTGAGAGTGGTGGTGTAGCCTAGTGGTTAAAGCGTCCACTTGTCACACTGAAGACCTGGGTTTGATTTCCCAGATGGGTACAATGTGTGAAGCCCATTTCTGGTGTCCTCTGCCATGATATTGCTGGAATATTGCTGAAAGCAGTGTAAAACTGAACTCACTCACTCACTCAGCCATTGTGGCCTTCCCAGTTTACACTCTCAGTGGAGTACACAAAATATGTAATCTAGACTACTATTATTGTGGAAGACACAGTGGCTGAGTGGGTAAAATCTCTAGCTTCAGTGCCCAACTTTGAGAGTATGGGTTTGCATCCCAGATGGAACTCAATGCAAAAGGTACTGGACTGTATACTTTACTGAGAAAGTGTAATCGCAAATATAGGCTATAGTTTCACCTGAAAAAGGTCTTTTCAAACATATTCTATGTGGGATATAAAGATGAAAGTGCTGTCTCATGTTGTGCTGATTTCAGGATACACTTAAACATTAAGTGAGCTGTATGAACATTGAATCACAGGTTTTGATTTGACCTTCAGGTGTGTCTGAGATTGACATAATCCTCGGGATCCGAGCTGATGACATTCCGGAGATCGATGAAACTGTGACAGTAGACTTGAGGATTGAGGGGTCTTCAGTGGAAAGGTTACGACCTGGCTCAACCGAGGTCAATGTCACTATATTGGCCAATGACAATCCAGCTGGAGTGTTTGAATTCTCTTCATTGATGCAGAGCAGTTATAGAATTGAGGTGAGTGGATGATGGATTCATGAAGATCCAGGCTGGTCTTCAGCAGCCAATGCTTGAAGTCAGAGGTGACATCAGATCAGCTGTATCAGGTGGTCTGGCTCACTTGGTCCATATATGTCATCATACCCCAGTTGCGTTGATCAATGCTCTTGATATCAGTCACTGGGTTGGTTCAGACTCGATTATTTAAGACAATCATATAGCTGGAATATTGCTCAGTTTTTCTGACACAAAAGAGTGAAACATCTTCCACTAGTAACTTCACCCCACAGAATTTCTGCCATGAAAGGGTAAATTGTCTCTCAGTTATATCTTTGTATTATATTATCTCCTTCATGAGTCAGGAATCAGTTAGTCTTGAGCTTGTGTGTGACAAATCCATAACAGCATGGGCCAGTGTTCATTCTTTTGACCTACAGAATGGACAGACTCTGTTATTTGCCTGGATGATATTTGAAACAGCATAAAACAACATTCATTTATAAAGAATACATAACACACCAAATGTGAATACATGTAAAGGTTGTCTTATAATTAATTGATTATGACACTTCAACTAGTCGGCTTTGAAAATATGTACAGCTTGATATTCATGTGAATTTCGATGTTCTGACAAGCGCAATACTAGCTCAGCCTGCAATGTGAGGAGATTTTCACTTATTCTCACATGTGATCCACAGGAGGGGTCTGAAGCAGTGACAGTGATTGTAGAGCGCAGTGGTGGATCTCTCACTGTGAAGGAAGTAGAGTACCGAGTATCACCCCGAGGAACTGAGGAGTTCTATGGAGGAACTAGTGTCCTGAGGTTTGCTCCTGGTCAGACCAGGGCAACAGGGACTCTAGTAGCTAAGTCAGATGGCATACCTGAGGTAAGGATTCTTTCAGTGTCATGCTTGTAGCTTGGTAAGATGGCATACTTGCAGTAAGGATTCTGTCACAGTGTCATGCTTGTTGCTTGGTAAGATGGCATACTTGAAGTAAGGATTCTGTCACAGTGTCATGCTTGTAGCTTGGTAAGATGGCATACTTGAAGTAAGGATTCTGTCACAGTGTCATGCTTGTAGCTTGGTAAGATGGCATACTTGCAGTAAGGATTCTGTCACAGTGTCATGCTTGTAGCTAAGTAAGATGGCATACTTGCAGTAAGGATTCTGTCACAGTGTCATGCTTGTAGCTTGGTAAGATGGCATACTTGAAGTAAGGATTCTTTCACAGTGTCATGCTTGTTGCTTGGTAAGATGGCATACTTGAAGTAAGGATTCTTTCACAGTGTCATGCTTGTAGCTTGGTAAGATGGCATACTTGAAGTAAGGATTCTTTCACAGTGTCATGCTTGTAGCTTGGTAAGATGGCATACTTGCAGTAAGGATTCTGTCACAGTGTCATGCTTGTAGCTCAGTAAGATGGCATACTTGATGTAAGGATTCTTTCACAGTGTCACACTTGTAGCTAAGCCAGATGGCATACCTAGAGGTAAGGATTCTTTCATAGTGTCATGCTTGTAGCTAAGTAAGATAGCGTACATTTGTAGCTAGGTCAGAAGGTGTAAAGGAGGTATAAAGGCCTGACATAGTGTCACACAACCATTTGTGGTCCCTACTTCTAAAATTGTCCAAAACACTTAACATAATCTAAGGCCTTTGTTATAATTTTCACATATATTCCACACATTTGAAAGTGAACATTGTGTTTATCTGTCGCAGCTCGATGAGCAGTTCACCCTTCAGCTTGTGAGTTATGGTACACCTCCTGCCCAACTGGGTACTCGTCTCAACATCCCCATTACAGTCTCAGCTAATGATGCACCCTCAGGAATCATCCAATTCTCCATGGATCCCACCATTGTCTACATGGGTAGGTCACTCAAGGCAGAGATGTGCAGTGTACTCTAGGATCTTTGGATATTTTGTATGTTATAAGTGTTTGAATTCCCATATATACACATCAGAACTAACCCTAACCTATCTATAAACCTCACCCTAAAACTGATATATCAGTATAATCCTCTGGTTTATAAATATGGAACATACTTTCGTTGATTCAAAGAAAATTTCTTCCAAATGCATGTGTTCAATTTCAGTTGACCGTGGGGTAGCCTAATGGTTAAAGCGTTCACTCGGCACGCCGAAGATCCGGGTTTGATTCCCCACATGGGTACAATGTGTGAAACCCATTTCTTGTGTATCCTGCCATTATATTGCTGGAATATTGCTAAAAGTGGTGTAAAACTCAACTCACTCACTCACTCAATTTCAGTTGGTGAGTTACATTTATAGTAACATTTGTCCTGGATTGAGATAATTCTAGTTGATCACTACCACAGATATAGATAATGAGTCTTATTTATATATACTTCCCAACTCCATGACTGTCTGTATTCCAGGGGAGAGCACCAACATCAACACGGTGTACCGGGATCTGATTGTACAGAGGAGTCGAGGAACGTTTGGACAGGTGTCGGTAGCCTGGCAGTTGCCACCCAGTGCTCAAGCGGACCTCACCCCCACCTCTGGAACGATCACCTTCACAGAGGGACAGGCTCAGCAAACAATCCGAATATCTTCTGTACCTGATGATGTAAGACGTATACAGCTCGGCTCCTCCACCTGAAAGCTTATTGTTTCAAATTTAAAGCTAATCCAAATTTTAAAATTTTACTACAGTACTGAAGTACTACATACAAGACCTGTGCTAAAGATTTATATATTGTTATTATTTGTATATTATAGATTACATTACATTACATTACATTACATTACATTACATTACATTACATTACATTACATTACATTACATTACATTACATTACATTACATTACATTACATTGACCGTGGGGTAGCCTTATGGTTAAAGCGTTCACTCGTCATGCCGAAGATCCAGGTTTGATTCCCCACATGGGTACAATGTGTGAAACAAATGTTAGTATGTAATGTAATGTAATGCTAAAGATTTATATACTGTTATTTTTTGTATGTTATAGATCATGAAATATTCACGATATTTATTGTAGTTAAGACGGATTGAACTATTTTATATGCTTAAATATCACTACAAGATGTTTAGTGATCCCTAACTTGTTTTGTCCAGTATATTGTTCTGTAGTATACCGTATCCTTTTCTGAAACCAATATCATCACAGTTTCATTATATGCCCCTGGAATGAGCACTATCACATCTTAAAGAATTAATATTTGATGGATGAAATATACACAAGTGGAATAAAAATAATGAAAAAAGTAGATAAATTATAAACAGAAATATCATTAATTACAATAGTCAGAATTCAGTTCACGTTTCCATGAATTAAGTGAGTGAATACAGTGCTGGAACTTTGTTATTGCTTTAGTTATTACTTGTATACATTTGTGGCAGTCCAAGAGTAGTTTTTTATTTCATCAATTTTATTTCACCTGTTCCAGATACCAGAGAGTGATGAGACGTACATTCTGCAGTTGGCTGTACCTACTGGTAACGCCCAACCAGGTGTTCCGATGAGAGCCACCATTGTCATCAGACAAAATGACCACCCAGTAGAATTTACAGGTACTAAATTGTATGGGGTCTATTGAATATTAGTTTGGTCAGATTTTGGCAAGTAGCTTCAAGTGTGATTTTTTGGTTTCATTATTCCATTACCTTTCTCTTGTGACTACAGACACATATATTCATGCACTTCTCATCACTCACGGCGGCAGACTTAAGCAACTCATTATTGTCGTAAGGGGTAACTATCAGGACTGAGTGGCCTGGTTCACATCCTTGCTTGATGCGTACCATCGTATCCCAATTGTGTAGTTTGATGCTCATGGTCCCACTCACTCGTGAAGATCTGGGTTAGAATTGATCTTCAGTGACCCATGCTTGTCGTAAGAGGCGACTAACGGGATCGGGTGGTCAGGCTCGCTGATTGGGTTGACACATGTCATCGTATCCCATTTGCGTAGATCGATGCTCATGATGTTGATCACTGGATTGTGTGGTCCAGACTCGATTATTTACAGTCCGCCACCATATAGCTGGAATATTGCTGAGTGCAGCGTAAAGCTAAACTCACTCACTCACTCATGATCCCAGTCATTTGACATCCTGGTCCAGACTCAATTGTTTACAGAAAGTGGTCTTTTAGATGGCTTATTTCTGAGTGTGGCAAATACACAGACAGATCAAGGGCATTCCATCAGACATAATTATGTCACCGGACCAGATCTGCTTTTTAATGCTTTTAAACCAGTTCACTCACTCACTCAATCACTACGATCATCCCTGGGATGCTATAAGAATTATTTCTTGTCTACAGAGGTCTGGAAGGATGCAAGAGAGCCATCTCAGGTTCAGTTCACCATTCAGAGAACAGGCCGCCTGACAGATACAACAAGAGTACGGTACAGAACGCTGGACGGGTCAGCATCCAGCATTTCCCAAGACTACACCAGTGTAGACTCAGAAGTTACCTTCAACCCTGGAGAGACTCAAAAGAGCTTCTTCTTAGAAGTCTTGGAGGACAACCTGCCCGAGGGGAATGAGACCTTCCAGGTGCAACTGTACAATCTGGGAGGTGAGAGAGCTTTGTCTGGTAAAACCAAAAAAGAAATGGTTAAATTATGTCTATCAGGAATGCTGACCCCATGTGTCCCCATTAATGTAACCAGGTAATGAAAATCTGTGACATATATTTAAATATACAAAAATAATTATGATGGAGGCAAGGAGCTAGATAATGTATACACAAACTAGTTATGGCAGTAATCTTGTACTATATATCTCTTTCTGTATGCTCTTCATAACAAGCTGCTTACTTCTCCAGGGGTATGAGATTTTGTTTTCGATTGGAGAATATGATTTCACCAAATTAGAGAATACAGTTTTTATGATGAGAGGAAATATTCCAGAAAAATAATGAGGACTAGTAAAAATCACACCTTTAAGGTTGAAAACTAAAAACCAGAGTGGAAGAGCCATTATATCCAGGAGGGTTTACAGTTTCAGCCAATCCAGACAAAAGTGTTATCAATGAATTATACTGAGAGAAACAAAGGATCACAGGAAATTTCAAGCATTCCTTTATTATTTTCCACTTTTCATTACCACAGCCCTATTCGAAGCTGGTGATGAAAAGTGGAAAATATTAAAGGAACGCTTGAACTTTCCTGTGATCCTTTATTTGTTTCTCTCAGTATATATACCATCAAAATGTTTATTAATATTTATGCTTAAATGTGCTTTACAATAGTCTTAAGAAATCATTATTGACTATATCTGGCTAGGACAGTTTCGGTAAACAAATTAACCTCAATGAACCACCTATATTAAACTAGTCCTGTGGTCTAATGGTGAGAGTGCCAGACTAGGAGGTGGCTGGTTTGATTCCACTGATCAATAGTGAACAAGTTTAAGTTCAAATAAAAACTCACAGCAGGGATGAAATCTTACAAGGAAAAAGTAAAACTTTATTCCAAGTGTTTCTGTAGAAAGAATAGTTTGGTTCAATGACACGTGCAAGCATAAACGTGTATAACTATTGAGGGTATAGTGAATCGAATGGTAGTTAATATAGACTTTCTGTATAAGACTTCCCCTTGATTCCAGGTGATTTCATCCTGACGAACAGATCCACAGCTACAGTGATGATCCTCGCCAATGACGATGCATATGGAGTCTTCCGCTTCAATGAGCCATTGGCGAAGGAGGCTAGCGAGGGAGAGACTGTTTACTTTGAGTAGGTTCATCTTAAAATGAGACACATTTATTGTTGTTTAATAGTGAACAGATGAATGAAGTTGAATCAAAGCTACAAAATTATGCTTTGACCTACCTTTACATTATGAATTTATTTACATGAACAGTTGAATTCATTTCACTGGAATTGTATGCATGGTGTAGACCCTCATCACTCCTCCATCCTGTAGGACTCAGCCTTCTATTGTATGTACCGGTAGTTTGTTTTGTGTTTTCTAATGCTGCAGTCAGCACTTATTTGAGCCAATAGATAATTAATCCTGGACTAGACAATCCGGTGAATGATATTGGGAGCAGAGATCCACATCACCATTCCCCAAATTCAGTCGATCAACTTTGACACCTCTTATGACTACCATAGATTCCTACTGACCGAGGCTAAATCTGATTACGCAAGGGAGTTATCACTTGTATTAAGCAGTAACTTCTCTGACTGAGTCATCAGACTGGTTGTACCCAAGAGAAGGACAAGTTGCTCATAATGTCAAACACTGGGTGGCCATTGTTTTATAGACCAAACGTTTGATAATCAGGTTATGTCCCAGGAATGGTCAAGTGTATATTATTTATAGTATTTTGGAGGAAGAAAACTACTACCATTCACAAACTGATATGCCACATGAAGATTTACACTGAATGATGTTTTTCTTTACTTTCAGTCCAAATGTTTGGTGTGAACAAAGATTACATAAGCTGTTGACTATTAAAACTACCGAGAACTGTTTCCTCAAAGAAGCTGCATTTTTTAAGCTTTTCATTTTATTGCAACTGACATTGAATTTTGGACCCCAAATTTAGTACATCAACAAATAGAAATAGAAAGCCATAGGATAATCATGTTGTTCACTTTTCAGCATCGTGCGTGACCAGGGTTCGTTTGGTCAGGTGAATGTCTTATGGCAGATCCGCGACATGCTCACCAATCAAATGGTGTCAGGCACTAGAGAATTTGAAGCAACCAGCGGAGTAGTCCAGTTCAATGAAAGTCAAGGTCAGCTGCCCATTATCATCAAGCCTCTTCCGGATGACATCCCTGAGAGTGAAAAGACCTACAAGGTTGTGCTCATGGGAGTTACTGGTGAGTGAAGGGTGGTGGGGTAGCCTAGTGGTTAAAGCGTTGGCTCGTCAAGCCGAAGACCTGGGTTCGATTCCCACATGGGTATAATGTGTGAAGCCCATTTCTGGTGTCCCCCGCCGAGATATTGCTGGAATATTGCTAAAAGCGGCGTAAAACTAAACTCACACACTCACTACTGGTGAGTGAACATTTAATTTAGTTGTCATTACCAGTTTTGTTGCTTTTTATTTATTTGAAAATGCCATGGAGGGTGTTTTCCCAAGAATTTTTAAATACTTCATAGCGCTAGACTTCCATAAAGATCAGCAATCTATGATTGTCATAAGATGTGATTCATTGGTCAGTGTGCTAATTTCACTGATGGCATTGTACCATAAATGCACAAATTGATGCTCATGATCTCAATCACCTGATTTTCCTGACAATTTTGTACAGATTTATGTCATGTAGCTGAAATATTGTTGAAGTGCAACATTAATTAACATTGTTGTCTGTTACTATCATTGCATTTGGGGATGTACCACAGAATCAGTAAAAATGAGCAGCTGGGGTCAATTTGTTTTGGTAAGTGGTTGTCTTCATATACAGGAGGGATTTGGGTGATAACATCTGAAGCACTACAGTTATCAACCTACCTCACGTATAACGGGTAATCTCAGACAGTCTTTTCAAAATCGTATCATATGGTTAGACTAGATAATCAGAGATGTGTATTGTAAATCCCTTGGATGTGAATTGTAATCCCCGGGATTTGAATTGTAAAGTAGGTTCCCAGACCTCTGCTGTGACTTTGCACTGATCATTTCTAAACCTATGATATTATTCATGATTGATACAACTTTGTCTTGCTATCACTGATCGTAAAATATGACATTATTGAAAACTTCCAATATATAGTGGCTATAACTGGTTTCGAACCTGCAACCCTTCGCTCTCTAACTTGGCGGTTTTATCCACTAGGCTACGAAGGATCGCTGGGAAGAATGAGATTGTTTGTCAGTATGAAACGTGTGTTCCTCACAAGACGGGTACTGCGGGCAGCGCACGTGCAGGACACGGGTAGCGTATGCATTGCGCGTGCAAGGCAAGGTGTTGGCTGCTAGTCGCATCCCAGTTGACACCGGTTGTTCCATCATTTGAGGGCTGTCCCATCAATGCTGTTCTGCTCGGGACGTATTGATGTCTATCGTTATATATTATTTTAAAAGATAGTTTACGCAAAAACGGCTGATAAGTCGGAGAAACCACTCCTACTCGGGTTTTCTAGAGATTGTGAACCCTGAGAGTCGAGAACATCCCTCCTCTCAGGGTTCACAATCTCTAGTAAACCCGAGTAGGAGTGGTTTCTCCTATACTTCCTTGTGCAAAGTTCCATGAATAATAATCTTGAGTATATGAATCTCAGTTCCACCTATATCATGTAGTAGGTTTGTCAGCACCATGGAAGGTGACCATTCAATTCATGTCCAACACGCTGCATCAATTTGATCTTTCCTCACACATTAAACACACACACTGTGTTATACATGAATACTGTTACTCCCTCTCTCACTTACAAGTCATTCAGATGTGTTACTCAAAGGGGAATGCCAGATTCTCCATCCAGTTTCTATTTGCTGTTTCCTGTTTCCAGTTGTTTCTGGGAGGACAGACACTGTGTTGGCAAGACTGGATTCTACAAGAACTGAGGGCACTCTGAAGATCAAACAGAGCGATGAGCCATTTGGCAAGTTTGCTTTCCCTGCCATGTCTGATGAGAAAAACATTGCTGAGGATGTGATTCCAGGCCAGGAGGCGGCCACTTCTGCTACCTTTACTGTGGAAAGACAGCAGGGTAGCCTTGGAAACACACAGGTAGGTTGAATATTGGAAATGTGTGGGTAGGTTAAACTGTGGGAAATATGTGAGTAGGTTAAACCATGGGCAAGGTGAGGATAGTTTAAACCATGGGAAATGTATGGGTAGTTTAAACCATGGGATATGTGTGGTTAGGTTAAACCATGGGAAATGTGTGGTTAGGTTAAACCATGGGAAATGTGTGGGTAGGTTAAACCATGGGCAAGGTGAGGATAGGTTAAACCATGGGAAAGGTGAGGATAGGTTAAAGCATGAGACACGTGAGGTAGGTTAAACCGTTGGAAATGTGTGGGTAGGTTAAACCATGGGAAATGTGTGGGTAGGTTAAACTGTGGGAAATGTGTTGGTCGGTTAAACCATTGGAAATGTGAGGTAGGTTAAACCATGGGACATGTGTTGGTCGGTTAAACCATGAGAAATGTGAGGTAGGTAAAAACCATAAGAAATGTGTGGGTAAGTTAAACCATGGGAAATGTGTGGGCTGGTTAAACCATGGGAAATGTGTGGGCATGTGGTTAAACCATGGGAAATGTGTGAGGTAAGTTAAACCATGGGAAATGTGTGGGTAGGTTAAACCATGGGAAATGTGTGAGGTAAGTTAAACCATGGGAAATGTGTGAGGTAAGTTAAACCATGGGAAATGTGTGAGGTAAGTTAAACCATGGGAAATGTGTGGGCTGGTTAAACCATGGGAAATGTGTGGGCTGGTTAAACCATGGGAAATGTGCGAGGTAAGTTAAACCATGGGAAATGTGTGAGGTAAGATAAACCATGGGAAATGTGTGGGTAGGTTAAACCATGGGAAATGTGTGGGCAGGTTAAACCATGAGAAACATGTGGTTTGCACCGTTGCAGTGTTATTGATAGCCAGTATTTGTATGCCCTGTTTAGTTATAGATTTTCGTTATCATTTAACAGTGATCAAATGATACTTGTTGTAACATTTCCAGTATTTTTGCATGGTCCGTATCGTTCATGAGGTGGCTTCAAGCTGTCCAGAAAGGTGTCTGGTTAGAACCTTTACACTTGTCAGAGGGGTACACAAGGTACCTTATCTAGACTACTAGTTATGGGACTTTCATTTTTGTGGAAGCCACAGCGGCTGGGTGGGTTAAATTGCTGACTTTGTGTTCTGGCAATTAGGTGTCCTACTCTTAGAGTATTCCCCCACTCAATCTAAACGATACTAGAATTTGTAGCTTACTTGGAAAGTGTAATCCCAAATATAACATAAATTACATGGTTTGAACCTTGTAATTATTTTTGTTGAAGCTTCTTTTGGGTCTTTAGCAACCTTTCTACCCAGTAAGTGAAAGCGTTACACTACCTATCCGTCAGTTGTTGATGCTGTTCCTGTTATACTGTCCTCAGGTCCTGTGGGAAGTTTTCTCAGCAAGAATGGGTGGCAATCCTCCCAAACTGGTGGATCTAATCTTTGTGGGTGACCAATCCTCGGGCGTGACTACTCGAAATGACAAGCGGCGATCAGGCACAGGGACCCAGGTGTTGTTTTTCTCCAATGGTCCAAGTAAGTGCTGTTAACACCACAGGTGATGAAGTAATGTTTAAACATATATTCCAGAAAAGTTAAACTCAACATTACAATTCGATATTGAGATAAAGATGTTTGTTATTGAGATAAGAAACAGTTTGTTCTTAAGGGATGTCAGTAATACTTTAGTAAACGCTGAATAATTCGGAAGATAATAATTAAAAACTGGATATATTTTCTATAAACAATTAACAAATATAAGGACATTATGATAAATGTCACACAAGACAAAGACCTCCGCCATCTCAGGAGTCTATTCTCCTTGCTCTGTATTCGTCAATCTCAATTGGTTCACGTCTGTTTACAGGAAGTTATGTCACAGTCCCTGTGTCTGCTCAACCCAAGCCTGCAGACATCATGAATGGTTTCAGTCTGAGTGCATGGGTCCAACCCCAATCAAACGTTACTGGTTACATCTTGGCTAAGACGTCTACAGATGGTCTGAAGCACTTCTACAGTCTCAAACTACAAATGTCATCATCGTCGTCAACTATTGAACTGGCACTGGCCAGGCCAAATTCGGTATAGCTAGCTACTTTTATATTTGGGGCAAGATCCTGGGGATGAAAATTTTGAGCTGAAATTTGAGATGATCATAATCAATTCATAGCAGTAATTCATCATTGTGTAGATGGAATTTTTAACTAGTATTTTTTATGCACATGTTGCTATTATTTCCAGATTAATCATGACCGTACAATATTCATCATTAATAGTCAATCATTAAGGAGAACAGGATTTTCATGTATTTCGAACTTTCTTTCTATAACTTCATATTATACTTTTTCATAATTTGGCTACACCATTCAGTACAAACACATGTACTTGGGGAGACTGTCGTCATAACATAATGTAAGGCCAGACCAATTTTATTTCTTGTTTTACGAATTTTTGTCCTTAGAAAACCTAAAGGCAAGAGGGGAAAAATTAAAAAATAAAAATCACCAGTTAAAGTAGTATTCCTTTTAAATACTAAAAGTATTATATTTTTGGAAATTTATGAAGTGTATATGGGGCAAAAAACTTTTATAAATAGTTTATTTGTATGCTTACATTTTGGGCCAATACAAAACAGGAGGATCATATTTTTTGAGCGGGGATACGTAATTTGTATTTTTTGTGTTATTCTTGAAAAAATACGACCGGCGGATCCGTAAAACAAGAAATAAAATTGGTCTGGCCTAACCATCTATTCAATGGTGCTTCCATTAACACTGAAGTTACATAACTGAACATTTATCAATTGCAAGTCATCTCCTTGGATACTGCCGCCAGAAATGTATGGATGGATTTAAATTGTTACTCTGCTGTAGGATGTAGACATAGTTAAGTTAAAATGCAATCCATTAGAGTGTGATTGAATTTTATTCCACTTTTAACAGTATGGCACATGTCACCTAAGTGATGCAGATCTTGGATTTTTATGTTTTGGTGAGGGTACTTAGGAGTTTCAAAAGTCAGAAGATTTGGAGCATTTAGTCAGTTTTCAGCTTAGTCAGAAGGTGGTGAAACCAAACACTATGATCATCCTTGTGTGAACAAGGAAATAGCTGGTTCTGGTTTCATTTATTTACTGTAATTCATGTTCTTACCTTTGTGTTTAAATCAGGTGAATCTGGGACAACCGGTAGGTTCTTTGATCACAGGTACATCTAAGGGGGGTAACTCTGCACAACAAATTTTACAGCTAGACCAACCATGGCCCCACGCCCTCCATGTTCAGTGTTTGTCATTGGATGATATCTCCTTGTACATGTGATTGTTTCAGGGCGGAAGCCAGGTGTACCCAGCTGTGACCAGTGTCAACCTCAGTGATGGCAACTGGCATCATATTCTGGCATCTGTTGCCAATGGAAGCGCTAAGATATATATCGATGGGATGCTTATTTCAACAAGGCAAGTTTATGAATTCTATTAAACCTAATGTTTATTGCCTAATATTATGAAAAATACACACCAAAGGTTATTGACACCCGAATGGGTTTTCATTTCCGTCTCTTCTTTTTTAAAATTCCTGTTGCCAGAAAAATATGCCTTTATCCATGGAATTTTCAAATGCCAACCAGTTATTTTACAGTTGGATTTATATATGGACAGTAAATATCAGCCTTTGACAGGCAGGGATGAATATTAATATTTAGCCAGTTTTCACTGAAAACTAAACAGTAATAATATATATATGAGAGCCTGTAATGTGATGTGCTCACATGTTAAAGCCCAGTCTAAGTAAACTTAGGCTCAGTATTATTCATTACACTGCTATATTGAACCCTAGTAGAAGGTCGTGTCAGCTAACCTTTTGATTTGACCAATCAGAACACAGGTTACCAAATCGCGAAAAGTTAACATGTGCACATAACATTTGAACTTTTACCTCGAAAACTTGAATGCTTTTTTCAGCACAATCACTTCTGAGTGTTACACATGGAGGACGCATTATTCTCAACAGCGAGTAAACAGTCGCTGTACATAGTGTTTTTGTCAATATTCCATGATGTCATCTTTCGGAAATACAAGCTAATAGTAATCATGTCATCAGAAACCCCTAAGCGTATATACTGGAGGTTAAATGTCTGTGTTTTATGCGGATTTTCATTTCAGCGACATTATTAAGACAAAATCCAAAAACTGTTTTGTAAGTCCTGCTGAACCCTAAAATAGAAGCCATTGTCTGATTGGTTAAATCCGTTCTGCCATCTCACGTTTGATTGGACGGTCATAGGTCGCTCAAAGGTTAGCTGACACAACATTTTACTAGGGTTTGTTAGATTCAGTATAGCAATGTAATATAGACTGGTTTGGGCTTGTATGTATGTATGTGTGTGTGTGTGTGTGTGTGTGTGTGTGTGTGTGTGTGCGTGCGTGCAATGCGTGCGTGCGTGTGTGCGTGTCGTGTGTGTGCGTCGTCGCGTGCGTGCGTGCGTGCGTGCGTGCGTGTGTATGTATGTACGTACATATGTATGCATGTATGTATGTATGTTTGAGTCTGTGTCATGATTATGTCCCCATTAGTTTGTGTAATGTTATTGTGTTTCTGGCTTGTAGAGCTCTGATACAACCTGACATCATAGACGAGCAAGGAGTGATGTTCGTGGGATCACTGTCCCCAGGACAGGGAATATATGAAGGCTTCATGCAGGATGTGCGGGTCTTCCTCAGGAGCCTGGTTGAGGAGTGAGTATCATCCCTACACACACACATATAGGCTTTTCTCTCTGAGTTCTCACTCAGGTTAAGAGTCATATTGTTTTGAAAGATTATATTAAGGGTATATACAGAAAAGTACCATTTGGTGACTTGAGTCTTCACATTAGATAGTTTTCTCTGAAAATGTAGCAGTGCAGGGTATATGCTTGTAATACATACACTATGATGCCCTTGGTAGGCCTTCTGTTCATAGGAGAGAATATGTGACAAAGTGATAGGAGAGTATATGGGGTAAAGTGATAGGAGAGTATATAGGGGTAAAAGTGATAGGAGAGTATATATAGGAGGGGTAAAAGTGATAGGAGAGAATATGTGTTACAAAGTGATAGGAGAGAATATGTGACAAAGTGATAGGAGAGAATATGTGACAAAGTGATAGGAGAGAATATGTGACAAAGTGATAGGAGAGTATATATGGGTTAAAGTGATAGGAGAGAATATGTAACAAAGTGATAGGAGAGAATATGGGGTAAAGTGATAGGAGTGTATATGGGGTAAAGTGATAGGAGAGAATATGTGACAAAGTGATAGGAGAGAATATGTGGTAAAGTGATAGGAGAGTATATATGGGGTAAAGTGATAGGAGAGAATATGTGACAAAGTGATAGGAGAGAAAATGTGGTAAAGTGATAGGAGAGTATATATGGGGTAAAGTGATAGGAGAGAATATGTGACAAAGTGATAGGAGAGAATATGTGACAAAGTGATAGGAGAGTATATATGGGGTATAGTGATAGGAGAGTATATGGTTTAAAGTGAATTAATGCCTCTATTCCCATACTTTCCACAGAGAGATCCTTGAAATCTATGAGACTCCAGCCATTAAGGACATCATGCCGATCTCTGGGATCCTGACGTACAGTACCGCGGTGAGGACAAGTACGTTCAACATCCAGTCTCTGCAGGACATAGAAGAGGAGAGCAACGAGGTGTTCACAGTCACTCTGGTGTCTGTTAATGGTGGTGCTGCCATCTCGGACACTGGTTACCTTGCCACACTTACAGGTACGTCTGCTCTGGTTCAGGTATATGTTGTGTGATGTGTCTTGTAAACAAACAGCAATGTCTGCTAACTATCAGGAATAGTCTCATTTTGGTCTTTCCTTACATGTGACCTGAACAACCATGCTGTATGTGAAATACAATTCAAAACTGTGTTGACCCAATACACACACTCTTTTACAGTTCTGAAGAGTGACAACTCAAATGGCTTGTATGGCTTCCTCCAATCATGTCAGCCATCACGCACAGGCAACGAAAGTGCACTGATCACGTGTGTCATCGGGCGGACCAGGGGAGACGATGGGGTCGTGACCATCACGTGGGTCGTCCAGCAGGACGTCAACAATGTATATGTTCCAGCTGTGGATGACTTCATCCAGTCCAGAGGAGCACTGACCTTCAGGGCTGGGGAGAGGGAGAAGGTAAGGGGATCGTTCTGTGTTAACTGCATGATCGACGCCAACAGCTGTGGATATACCTTTTGAGTTCTCTGAAATCATTTAGAAGTGAACATGAGTCATAGATATTTTGGATGTTTAATTCTATATTTGTCAAGCACAACATTTTAGAGTTAATTCTCACTCCTAATTCAAGTGAATGATACAGAGTGAGTGGATATGGACATATATAAAATTGCTGAGAATGATGTTTTGGAGTTAATTAAAATATATGTCCATATCTATACTGTATCATTTACTCGACTTCAAAGGAGCTCATATCCAAAAGGTCCTTGACTTAAACCATCTTTAAAAGGAATTTGCTCATGAGGGTTCAATGGATATATAAGATAAAGTGTAAACTATCACTTTTAACAGGTTTTGAGTATTGATTGCCAAACTGTATAACTATATGTTTGAAAGTTAAAGTTGCTTTTTTTTATCTTTTCAGAGTTTACAATTCCAGATAAAAGAAGACAATTTGCCAGAAAAAGCAGAAATATTTCGTGTTTACTTGGAATCTGCTATATCAGGTGATGGACTTGCAGGATCAACGAATCAGAGTGGAGCTAGCATCGACCCTGCGACTAGATCTTCTAGCCTCATCATAGACGACACTGACTTCCCTCATGGCCTACTGCAGTTCTCAGCTTCCACATCTCCACCACAACAAAACGGACCAGTGATTGTTCCTGCCACTCAGCCTGTTACCGTGAGTATACTTTGATGGTGTTGTTGTAGTTGATGATGATGATGAGGAGGAGGAGGGCGAGGATGACAGTGATGATGATGATGATGATGGTTAAGAACAGGGGAGATAAGTGTTGATATGAATAACATACTTAGTTTCAAAAGTATTTTCTATGAAATTAAGCGTAGGAGTGGAACAGTCATGGTAGTTAAAAAAAAATGCATTCCAAACAATTTTTACAACCAACATCTTGACAAAGGACATTATAACAACAGTGTATCTTAATATTGAGAGGGGTTCTCCATAGTTACAAGCCTGTCAGTACTGAATAGCAGGAGGAGTCTCTTTTCTTAAATACAGTTATACAGGTTACACTGTAGTATATACTTACTTCCATTATTATCATTTCTTGAACACAGTTCAAGCTGCTTGGAACTTTCAGTATGGATGCACAGCAACTATTGGAGAATGCCCTCCCAGTTTTTAGCAATAGAATTGTAGAATATGTCTTCTACAATAAATTTTTAATAGGTAATCTTAATGATAATGATAGTAGTATAACATAAGTAATTACAAAATACATTTTAATATCCAGGTTTAATGACTTGGTAGTGAGTTCATTGTATTGCATTCTTTGTTCACTGCCAGATTATGGCAAGGGAGGAAGATCGGGTGGCCGCTTTAATGGTGGTTCGGGCTCAAGGACTAATCGGCCAGGTCTCCGTGGAATGGAGGACCATTGATGGCACTGCCAGGAGCTCAGGGAAGTCACCACCAGATTACATTGTAAGTTTGTAATATATCCTCATACCATCATCACTAGTATTAGTTTGTAATATATCCTCATACCAGCATCACTAGTATTATATGTCTAGTTATGTTTAATATTCACCATTTCAGCCATGGAAATTTTCCTAAAGGCTAAACTGCCGAATAGTTAATGTATCTTAAGGACGAGAAGAAATTTGATATTTTTAAGGGTTTCGTTATGTTATCATAAAACGTCTCAAATAGCTAAACATTTTAGTTTATAAAACTATCATTTCTTCAATTTCAGTCTGATTTTATCTGTTAGATGGTAGAAATAAGTATCCAATTAAATTGCATTGGAAACATTTTGTGTGAAGATGATGCTTTAGTAGCAAACAGAGATCACAAATCCTGGATAGGAGAGGATTGTCATAGCAGCTGACTGAACAGCATCATACGAACATTATCTATGCAGGTTCATTCTTAATTTCAGATAATATATAGTATGACCAGAAATTATTGAGCATTTTAGGAATATGTTTAATTGGATTTCTAGTATAAACAACCGTGACCAGCTATCAAGTGCTTGGTTTCATTCAAGAGAGACAACTCCGTTAATCCCTTTTCATTAGTTTGTGAAAAGTTATCCCCCTTTGTTTACATGCTAGCAGACGACATTTTCTGTGATCCTCAGTATGGATAATTTAGAGAAGAGGAAGTTGATTTTAGAGTATTATAACAAGGACATCAGAACAGCTAAAGTGATTTCAAGTAGAACAGGCATCCCTTTGTCCACTGTTTATTGTGTTTTGAAAAATATTGCAAATGGATATGGCATTGAGCACCAGGAAGGCGCAGGTAGGCCCAGAAAATTGACTGTCGGTGACAGAAGGCGGCTTGGTGTTCTTGTTTCTAAAAACAGACGAAGGAGTTTAGAAAACTTAAGGCTGGATATGATTGATAGAGGAACTGTGGCTGTCTGTAAGGAGACAATTAGAACTGAGCTGCATGCAATGGGTTGGCAGAAAAGTCAAGGAATTCCATCACCAATCATGAAACCTGAACAAAAGGAGCGAAGGTTGAACTGGTGCTTACAGCATAGAAATTTTAACTGGGACAATGTGATTTTCTCAGATGAAAATTCTGAATGGCTGTTTCCTAATACACTGAAATTCTGGACCAAACAAACTGAAAAACCTTTGTATCAGCGCCCAAAGTACAGTCCGAAATTTAACGTGTTGGGTGGCATATCTGTGTTAGGGGCAACGCCCCTCTGTGTATTTGAAGGGAATATGAACAGTGAGCGGTACACAGATATTCTCGAGGGGCATTTACTTCCATCTGCTCACGTGTTCCATGGAAATTTTGGGATTTTCCAGCAGGACAACGACCCAAAACATCGTTCAAAGCATTCACAGGCCTGGTTTCGGACCCAAAATATGACATTATTAGATTGGCCAAGCTATAGCCCTGACCTAAATCCAATAGAAACTGTTTGGGGACTTATGAAGGAAAGTGTCAATAAGAAAAATCTGACAAATATTGCTGAAATGAAAGAAGAGGTGGTCCGATATTGTGACAGCATGGACCACAACTTTCTAACTTCTTTGATCAGTAGTATGCCACACCGCATTGAAGCCTGCATTGCTGCCCATGGTGACTTGACAAAACACTAACTGTTTACCTGTCTTTTAATCTGGCGTTATGTTCTGCTAATATTCACATTTAATACGTGAGTAGTGAGTGAAAAAAATAAAAAATGTACAATCTTTAAATTCTCAATAATTTCTGGTTGAAAATACTGGATAATCGTTTGCTGCAGCTTAAAATAAATAATCATAATAGATGAAACATATATCAGTACCATGATTCTACTGTATCCATATGTGTTGAAAAAATCTGTTCCCAGTAATTGGATCACTTTGTCTTATGCTGTAGATACAGTTCAGATGCAATATGAATATTTATTATTATGTGTGAAGAATCCAGCTATTTCACTGGCCAATCAATGTAGCTAAATCAAGTCAGCTTGTTGGCCTTACAGATATTGTGAGTGAGTTTAGTTTTACGCTGCATTCAGCAATATTCTAGCTATATGGCGGCAGTCTGCACATAATCGGGTCTGGATCAGACAATCCAGTGATCAACAGCATGAGCATCGATCTGCGCAATTGGGAATCGATGACATATTTCAACCAAGTCTGACCACCCGATCCTGTTAGTCACCTCTTATGACAAGCATGGGTTACTGAAGGCACATTCTAACCTGTATCTTCACGGGTTACAGATATTAGATGTCATATTATTCGATTGTCACTTCATATTCCACCATAGTGTGATTACTATTGCATGTGAGGCAGTAGATATACATAGCCTTATGATTAAAGCGTCATGTTACTCATGAGGTAAAAACATTGTGTTGACCTTGCAGTGTCTGTTACTCTCAAGCAAGCATGGTAATTCATATTAACAAAACAGAGCCTTCATTATATATCATCTGTCTCCATTTATTTACAAAACTACATATAAGTACATGTACTAATGAGAAAAGATATGCAACAATTCACACACCGACAACTCGGGGGAATAATAATTATGGGCAAACATTTTTAAGAAACAATATACATTTTTATATTTTTCATAATCTTACAACTTATCTCTAAGGTGTTTAGAATGAGTCATCTCTCGTGTACAGCTGACATTAGTACACTGTGTGGCTACAGAGATAGCAGTCTGATGTTCTGGTTCAATGGAAATATATACTTAGGGGAGGCCTAAGGAACAGGCTGCTCTTGTACAAAGCAGCATTAGTGCTATGATTGATGTACATCTATGCTAAGGTATAAGAGTTAAGATTACCTTAGTGCTATGACGGTCGTAAGTCTATGTTAAGGTGTAGGAGTTAACATCACCTTAGCTCTGCAACTGTCTTACGTCTATGTTAAGGTATGGGAGTTGCAATCACATTAGTGCTACAATTGTCCTAAGTCTGTGTTAAGGTATGGGAGTTGGAATCACATTAGTGCTACAATTGTCTTAAGTCTGTGTTAAGGTATGGGAGTTGGAATCACATTAGTGCTACAACTGTCTTAAGTCTGCATTAAGGTATGGGAGTTGCAATCACATTAGTGCTACAACTGTCTTAAGTCTGTGTTAAGGTATGGGAGTTGCAATCACATTAGTGCTACAACTGTCTTAAGTCTGTGTTAAGGTATGGGAGTTGCAATCACATTAGTGCTACAACTGTCTTAAGTCTGTGTTAAGGTATGGGAGTTGCAATCACATTAGTGCTACAACTGTCTTAAGTCTGTGTTAAGGTATGGGAGTTGCAATCACATTAGTGCTACAACTGTCTTAAGTCTGTGTTAAGGTATGGGAGTTGCAATCACATTAGTAAGTCTGTGTTAAGGTATGGGAGTTGCAATCACATTAGTGCTACAACTGTCTTAAGTCTGTGTTAAGGTATGGGAGTTGCAATCACATTAGTGCTACAACTGTCTTAAGTCTGTGTTAAGGTATGGGAGTTGCAATCACATTAGTGCTACAACTGTCTTAAGTCTGTGTTAAGGTATGGGAGTTGCAATCACATTAGTGCTACAACTGTCTTAAGTCTGTGTTAAGGTATGGGAGTTGCAATCACATTAGTGCTACAACTGTCTTAAGTCTGTGTTAAGGTATGGGAGTTGCAATCACATTAGTGCTACAACTGTCTTAAGTCTGTGTTAAGGTATGGGAGTTGCAATCACATTAGTGCTACAACTGTCTTAAGTCTGTGTTAAGGTATGGGAGTTGCAATCACATTTGTGCTACAACTGTCTTAAGTCTGTGTTAAGGTATGGGAGTTGCAATCACATTAGTGCTACAACTGTCTTAAGTCTGTGTTAAGGTATGGGAGTTGCAATCACATTAGTGCTACAACTGTCTTAAGTCTGTGTTAAGGTATGGGAGTTGCAATCACATTAGTGCTACAACTGTCTTAAGTCTGTGTTAAGGTATGGGAGTTGCAATCACATTAGTGCTACAACTGTCTTAAGTCTGTGTTAAGGTATGGGAGTTGCAATCACATTAGTGCTACAACTGTCTTAAGTCTGTGTTAAGGTATGGGAGTTGCAATCACATTAGTGCTACAACTGTCTTAAGTCTGTGTTAAGGTATGGGAGTTGCAATCACATTAGTGCTACAACTGTCTTAAGTCTGTGTTAAGGTATGGGAGTTGCAATCACATTAGTGCTACAACTGTCTTAAGTCTGTGTTAAGGTATGGGAGTTGCAATCACATTAGTGCTACAACTGTCTTAAGTCTGTGTTAAGGTATGGGAGTTGCAATCACATTAATGCTAAGAAGGCTTTGTACATCGGCACCCAAGCCAAAATACATATCACTCCTATCATATCTTCAATTTCAGTTACATTGAATATTGTCTATCTCAAAATTAACTAGCTGGAGTTGATGAGTTCAGCTAACGTGCTCATATCTATGGTTTACCTTGATTGTAAGCACTGTCACAAATCCTCCCCTCTCAAACCCTTCACTTAACAATCACAACCAATAATTCTGTTTCTGAGTCGGTTTGGTATGTGTTTAAGGTTGGTTAAAGGGGTTTTTCAAAATATTTAGGTGATAATTATTTCCATGTTTGGTTGATGTTGAAGCATAAAACCCCTGATTTGAAAATATATGGTGATGACTTTCAATTTCACCTTGACATAAAGGATTACGAATTTCAAAGGCTGAGAGCTTATGAATGGCACAAATACAAACATTCTCAAATGTGGCCAGACCTGATAAGATTTTACTATAGGATATATTGACATAGTTTGCCCTGAATATATTGATACTTGGTCTTCACACCTGAGTCAAGTATCACACAGAAGTATGCAAGTCCAATGTAGAATTCATGGAAGACCTAATGGAACTAAGGAGCCACCTTGTTTAGTCAGCTTGTACATATTTCTCAACACAACAAAACTGGACAAATGAATACTGCACACAGTCTAGGATATGTCAGTCAGGATGCATTTATGTACATTAAAACT